TGCCACGTCACGTACCCATTGCTTCAGTCTTTGCGATGTGTTGGGAAGGGTTCTAGCTGCGAGAAAAAACAATCCCATGTTGGTAAGCTCAGTTTGGCAAACCAACCAGGTCTGCTCGCAAACCAACAGAAAAAAAACAAGGTACCCTTATTCCAAAATCTCTACTGGAGGACCTAGATTCCTTTAGGCTTCCCTTTCACATCTTTACACCAAGCCCAAAAACATATTTGGCCAAGTCCCGCTTTCCCATCTCAAGTCCTCTGCGAGACATATTTGTTTGCTGAGGAACCAATCGAGGGAGGGCGTCGGACCTTTTGGGGCCCACGAGTCCTTGGGGCTGGGTTACGTGGACACAGCCTGCCTTGGCGCAACTTTTGCGCTTGGACTTGAATGGAGCTTCTGGGAAGGGGCAAAGGGCAGTCCAATGGCACCAAGGATTTTGCGGAGCGAGTCCCTTTTGCGGCACCAAAATTGGGGGCTTGCAAAAAACCAAGGGACCTAGATTTGCGAATTGGCACTGTGTTTACGTTGGTTGAGTTTAAAGGGAAGCCCACCCAAAAAATGGAGCACAGGCAGTAGATGCCCCACTTCTCAAGTTGGGGTGGGACCGCCCTTGCATGCCTTAGGAGCCCGCTCCTGCATCTGGTGGTTTGGGCGGCCTGGGCGGCTACGCGCTGGGGAGCTCAGATGGCAGCCAGTGGCTTCATTTGTTTGGTATTTGTTTCACCAGTGTTGCTTGATGTTTGCTTGTTTTGTTTTGCTCTATCAGTGTTTTGCTGGTTTGGTATCAGTGTGTTGCTTGTGTGTTTGCTTGATTGTTTGTTGCTTGGTTGATTCGCAATGTGTTTGAAGAGTTCACGGGGGAGGCCAAGGTTTGGCAGCGAAGGTCAAACCACTGTCATTCTGCTGAGCCTGTGGCCGTCTCTTGCCCCAATGGCCCCTTTCTTGACTGGTGTTCAAGAGTGGACACAGAAGTCGGCGTCTACTGTTTTGTGGATCGACTGGAGGCTATTTCGCTCTTTCCTGCCTGTTTGCCGTCCCTTGGAACCAATACTCATCTGGCGCCAGAGCCTGCATCTCAAAATCCTAATCACTCGTGCAACCGAATTGACCCGATCGACGCTGGGATGACCCAGCCGCAGCCGGTTCTGCTTGGTTCTCACAACAAGCATCAACTGGTCTTGCCTGTCTTTGATGACTGCTGAGACTGTTCATGCGAGTCCTTTGCACAATTATTTCACTGCATATCGCAGCACCTGACGCATGTAAATCCATCGAATTGCCTCAAGCGAAGCTGGGATGACCCAGCCGCAGCCAGTTCTGCTTGGTTCTCGGACAAGCATCAACTGGTCTTGCCTGTCTTTGATGACTGCTGAGACTGTTCATGCGAGTCCTTTGCACAATTATTTCACTGCATATCGCAGCACCTGACGCATGTAAATCCATCGAATTGCCTCAAGCGAAGCTGGGATGACCCAGCCGCAGCCAGTTCTGCTTGGTTCTCGGACAAGCATCAACTGGTCTTGCCTGTCTTTGATGACTGCTGAGACTGTTCATGCGAGTCCTTTGCACAATTATTTCACTGCATATCGCAGCACCTGACGCATGTAAATCCATCGAATTGCCTCAAGCGAAGCTGGGATGACCCAGCCGCAGCCAGTTCTGCTTGGTTCTCGGACAAGCATCAACTGGTCTTGCCTGTCTTTGATGACTGCTGAGACTGTTCATGCGAGTCCTTTGCACAACTATTTCACGTGTAAATCCATCGAATTGCCTCAAGCGAAGCTGGGATGACCCAGTCGCAGCCAGTTCTGCTTGGTTCTCGGACAAGCATCAACTGGTCTTGCCTGTCTTTGATGACTGCTGAGACTGTTCATGCGAGTCCTTTGCACAATTATTTCACTGCATATCGCAGCACCTGACGCATGTAAATCCATCGAATTGCCTCAAGCGAAGCTGGGATGACCCAGCCGCAGCCAGTTCTGCTTGGTTCTCGGACAAGCATCAACTGGTCTTGCCTGTCTTTGATGACTGCTGAGACTGTTCATGCGAGTCCTTTGCACAATTATTTCACTGTATATCGCAGCACCTGACGCATGTAAATCCATCGAATTGCCTCAAGCGAAGCTGGGATGACCCAGCCGCAGCCAGTTCTGCTTGGTTCTCGGATCAACTGACCTGTCTTTGATGACTGCTGAGACTGTTCATGCGAGCCAGCTCGCGTTCTCGGACAAGCATCAACTGGTCTTGCCTGTCTTCTGACAAGCATCAACTGGTCTTGCCTGTCTTTGATGACTGCTGAGACTGTTCATGCGAGTGCTTTGCACAATTATTTCACTGCATATCGCAGCACCTGACGCGTGTAAATCCATCAAATTGCCTCAAGCGAAGCTGGGATGACCCAGTCGCAGCCAGTTCTGCTTGGTTCTCGGACAAGCATCAACTGGTCTTGCCTGTCTTTGATGACTGCTGAGACTGTTCATGCGAGTCCTTTGCACAATTATTTCACTGCATATCGCAGCACCTAACGCATGTAAATCCATCGAATTGCCTCAAGCGAAGCTGGGATGACCCAGCCGCAGCCAGTTCTGCTTGGTTCTCGGACAAGCATCAACTGGTCTTGCCTGTCTTTGATGACTGCTGAGACTGTTCATGCGAGTCCTTTGCACAATTATTTCACTGTATATCGCAGCACCTGACGCATGTAAATCCATCGAATTGCCTCAAGCGAAGCTGGGATGACCCAGCCGCAGCCAGTTCTGCTTGGTTCTCGGACAAGCATCAACTGGTCTTGCCTGTCTTTGATGACTGCTGAGACTGTTCATGCGAGTGCTTTGCACAATTATATTACTACGTATCGCAGCACCTGACGCGTGTCTTGCAGCCTTCGATTTCAGCATTGCGGACCAGTGAGCCAAGCTGATTTCGGATGCAATCGTGTATTATCTACCAGCGCTGCATGTGCGACATGCCACATTCAGGAGTTGCGGAGCAGAGCTGTTTTACTGCTTTCTGGTTTCCATGTCGGGACACGTACTTAAAATGCTGAGCAATGAAATGCATCGGGAATTTTTGCTCCCGGACCGAACGCATGGAAGTGCCCCATTTTTGTCGGCAGCATTGGGATGCTTGGCAGTGTTGTATTAGCAGGTTGTATTGGCAGGTGCGCGTTGCATGCTTTCAGGCGCTACTAACATGCTTCGACAGCTGCGAAACGATACAGGACGTCCGAACCCCGAATGAATACTCTCCAGAGAAGTAAATTTGACCCTGACTCCTGCTTTGCTTTGTGTGGATGGTTCCCATCAGAATGAGCATAATATGGCTATGGGTCAAAACCCCGTACCCCCAGTAAACATCCCAATCCCCACTAAAACAGGTTCTAAAATGGGTGGTGAATTCCAAAATGGGATCCCATTGGTGTTGAACCACGGCCATGGCAGCCGCATCCCGTGCAACGGCAGAAACCAGCGGCGCTGCCAGGTCAGACAGCGACGAGGAGGAGGGCTCAGAGGACGCGGCATAGGCTGCGCAGTGGACAGTGCGCAGCCCGTTTCACGTTTCGTGTCACCGACAAAGTCTTCACGGTGAAAGCTCCGTCTCTCCGGGAGTCTAGGGCACCGATTCAATTTGTTGGTTTCTCAGATTGTCTCAGTTTCCCTAGCTCCATGGATCCCGTTTGATTGACAACTTTGGTCTTGCGGCATGCTTGACTTGAAATAGACATGGAGCTTCCTTTTGTGACCCCTGGCTTCTGGAGGGCACAAGTGCAAGGAGCAGTTAATGCCATTGATGCCATTGATCCTGACAAGGGGTCGAGGTTGCGGAGATATGCGGGTGTCGATCTTTGCAGCGAAATGCCAGAGTCGCTTGGTTTAGACAATGTTGCTTTGAGTGTGCGACCAATATTTGCCAAGCATTCTGTCATGTTGACTGGAGTTTGTCCACGACGCTTCTAAGCAAGCAACTACATTAGTGACTCACTCAGACATGCTACAATATCCCAGTGCTAGCGAGTATGTTTGCGGAGTTTGTATGCATTCCTTTGTGCAAAGGCGACTGACAGATCAGGCGTCAAAGGTTTGTTCCGCCACCCTTTGTTGTAGGATGTGTTCCGAAAGCAAGACGGGGGTGACCTTTCAGAAAGAATGCCGAACTAGATAGAAGTTATCAGGATTGTAGTTTCCAACATCTACAAGCCACATCAGCAGGCAGTGTATAAGTCTGCTTGTTATAAGCCCGTTCCAACTTGCCAGAGGTGGTTGAGCCGCACGAGCTTTAGCACCAGTTCTTAGTCTCTATATTTGGGTGAACCTATGTTTTTAGTTGCAGCTGGTGTGTGTCGGGGTTGTGAGTTGTTCCTTCATTGTTCACGCTTTCGTGGGCACACATTGACATTTATTGGAGTGTTCTGCGTTTGAGGATTCGTGCCTGCAATATGTTTCTTAAGATGATATAACTTGTGCATATACATTGATATACGTTCCGTATGTACCTCCCAAGAGGGTTGCTGAGACATACAAACACTAGATCGACGCTATACAAAGAGGGTATATTCCCTGTTTCCCTCTTTGTAGTTGTTTGGGGTCGTTCAAATCATCTTAGGACTGCATGAAGCCGCAACAAAGGAGGTTGGGATCATCTGCGTAGCTGTTAGTCACCCGCAACAAGTAAGTGAGAAGACGCCTACCGCAGCAGCACGTATCACACCTCACTCCATCCATCACAACAACATGTGCCAGACCACCCAATAGACCATCCATCAGACCAACACGAACTAGACTACCCACCCGAAGGACAGACCAGCCACCCCAACAAACCACCCACCAGACCAAGCCCCAGACTCACCACACCAGACCGCCCCACACAGGGCAACACTAACCCCTTCACACTGCCCGGGAGAAACAACAATTCTCAGGCCGCGAGTGCCAAATCCGCTCAGAGGGCCCCGGTGCCTTTGGCCCCTGCGCTTTTGGCACATCGCCGCATGAGCCAATGGGATGAGTGCAGAGGACTTTCAGGCAAGGGCGGTTCTCGCCGAAGGATGGTCGCATGGGCTGTACATCTCTGAGTCCGGCGGATTGTTGATGACACAGGCTGGGTTGACAAGGCGGTTTAACTGCGCAAATAATGCCTTCCGCAATTGCCGAAGAGAGGTCTTTGTTGAGTGCAATATGTGCGAGACGGGGAGCATGTTGTATGTTTGTCGATGCAAGCACTTGAATCATGTTGAAAGCAAGTTAATCTGAAGCATCAGTATCGAACCATGCAGAAGGAGTGCTATGTGCTTGCCCGTTCCCTTCTGCCTTTGCAGTGTCAACTGGCAAGCATGCATACAGCCTCTGTTCGCTGCCAGTACGTATGACGCAAAGAACGCTCAGAACGGATCGCGTTGCGCCGTGTTGTGTGTGCATATGGTTGTTGGGCTCCAAGCTCAATGGCACCAAGGATCTTCAAGACAACATCTACACCTTGCAGTTGGTTTGGTTTGGTATTTTGTCATTGAACTTGTTCGCTTTGGATCCATAGGTGTCCTTTTTGGCAGGTTTGCTTAGAAAATCGGCCGGGCCCTGGTTTAGATGAGGTTTATGCCCCATCTAAACCAGGGCCATCGATTTTCCCAAAAGGCCACCTTTTGGATCCGTTTCCTTGGCCTGTGCGAGGGCAACCGATCCAACAGTCGCACGACCCGTTCCGCCAGATGGTTAGGAAGTTGAGCGCAGTCATGCTTTCTAGATCTGTGATTCCTGGTAGAACACGTCCTTTCCTGGACACAAGCTATGCACACTATGATTGGAGGCGTTGAAAGCCTTATGCCTGTGTGGTTGGTTGATCCAACACCATATGTCGGGTTGACCAACTGCAGAATATGTCTTGGGCAGGCTTGCGGATGGACAGCGTGGGACAAACCTTCGAAGCCCGTCCTTCCACGAGGTTTGTGAATCTTTGCTTTGACCGTGACATACTCTCTTAATGTTGACCCCGTATTAGTATGTAACCCACCCCCCCCCCCCTCGAAGGTCGGGAAGGTTTTGGGGGGGAAGACTTTTTGCCACCCCCCCTAAATAATCTGGAGTTGAGTTTCCATTTGTTTAGTATTGCTGGAGCTCCCTTTTGAGATTTGGAATTGAGTTTCCATTTGATTTAGTATTGCTGGGGCTTCCTTTTGAGATCTGGAATTGAGTTTCCATTTGATTTAGTATTGCTGGGGCTTCCTTTTGAGATCTGGAATTGAGTTTCCATTTGATTTAGTATTGCTGGGGCTTCCTTTTGAGATCTGGAATTGAGTTTCCAATTGATTTAGTATTGCTAGGGCTTCCTTTTGAGATCTGGAATTGAGTTTCCATTTGATTTAGTATTGCTGGGGCTTCCTTTTGAGATCTGGAATTGATTTTTCCTTTGAATTAGTATTGCTGGAGCTTCCTTTTGAGATCTGGAATTGAGTTTCCCTTTGATTTAGTATTGCTGGAGCTTCCTTTTGAGATCTGGAATGGAGTTTCCATTTGATTTAGTATTGCTGGAGCTTCCTTTGGGGGGTGGGGCCGATGGACCGCATTAATTAGGGGGGGATTATTAATTGGGGGTGTTAGGGGCCAATGTGGGGTGCTCTTTGAAACCTTCTAAACTTGCTTTGTTTAGTAAAGAATTTAATAGGACATCGACAATCTCAGAACACTTTTTGTTTTTGTGGTTTGGTCAGGCCCAAAAGTATCCACCAAGCTTCAAGATGAGAGTGGGAGGTGGAGATGAGAGCCCTAAGCAAGGCAGCAGCATGAAGAGAAAGGTACCAGAAGAAAGCATGAGCCCATTTGAGACAAAGCACCTTTTCAGCACACCATTCAGAGAAAGCATGGCAAGCAGCATGAGTCGATTCAACATCAGCAGCATCAACTAGCACCAAAAAACAGTTTACATTGTAATGAGCTCAAGAAGCAGTGGAGAAAATGAGATAGCAGCAGCCATCTGGGGGAGGGACCGGTCTAATGGGGGGGGTTGTTTTGCATCATTTTTTATTTGGGGGGTATTTTCTGAGATATGAATTGTTTAGTATTGGGGGGGTCCACCCGGACCGGACTAATAGGGGGGGGGGATTATTAAAACAGGGTCAACATTACTCTGGTCGATTTTTAGCAGAGTCAAGTTCAAATGATGATGTAGTCAAAGGAAGTTTAACAAGAAACTTCCGTAGTACTGGAACTAAATGAGCTAGCTGCTTTGACATATAGCTATGACAGGTAGCTAGCATGACAAATAGATAGCTTTGACATATAGCTAGCTTGACAGATAGATAGCTTTCCAATAGGCTTGCATGACAAATAGATAGCTTTGACATATAGCCAGCTTAACACATAGATAGCTTTCCAAAGACTAGCATGACAGATAGATAGCTTTGACATATAACCAGCTTGACAGATAGATAGCTTTAAGATACATGGATGTGCGCGAAAAAAGCTACGAGAAAAGCTGAAATCAGGAGAGCTGGGGGATAGCAAGTTGCAGAAACGTTGGTGCCATGCGTGAATTGGGCTTCCGGACAGTGCGCAAACCACCTCGGTCGCGACGCCTGTACGGAGGCGGTCTCGGAACGGTCCCGGAACGGTCTCGGAACGGTCTCGGAACGGTCTCGGAGACGGGACCATTGGCACGGCCGCGCGAAGGTTTCGCTAGGTTTGAATTGCGTGGCAGGTGCAGCACTTTCGCAAGGTCAAGTATAGATTTCGTGGCAGGCGCAGCACTTTCGCGAGGTCGAGTACAGATTTCGTGGCAGGCGCAGCACTTTCGCAAGGTGCTGCGTCCACTTTCTGCGAGCTGGGGGATAGCAAGTTGCAGAAACGTTGGTGCCATGCGTGAATTGGGCTTCCGGACAGTGCGCAAACCACCTCGGTCGCGACGCCTGTACGGAGGCGGTCTCGGAACGGTCCCGGAACGGTCTCGGAACGGTCTCGGAACGGTCTCGGAGACGGGACCATTGGCACGGCCGCGCGAAGGTTTCGCTAGGTTTGAATTGCGTGGCAGGTGCAGCACTTTCGCAAGGTCAAGTATAGATTTCGTGGCAGGCGCAGCACTTTCGCGAGGTCGAGTACAGATTTCGTGGCAGGCGCAGCACTTTCGCAAGGTGCTGCGTCCACTTTCTGCGAGCTGGGGGATAGCAAGTTGCAGAAACGTTGGTGCCATGCGTGAATTGGGCTTCCGGACAGTGCGCAAACCACCTCGGTCGCGACGCCTGTACGGAGGCGGTCTCGGAACGGTCCCGGAACGGTCTCGGAACGGTCTCGGAACGGTCTCGGAGACGGGACCATTGGCACGGCCGCGCGAAGGTTTCGCTAGGTTTGAATTGCGTGGCAGGCGCAGCACTTTCGCAAGGTCAAGTATAGATTTCGTGGCAGGCGCAGCACTTTCGCAAGGTCAAGTATAGATTTCGTGGCAGGCGCAGCACTTTCGCAAGGTGAAGTGTAGATTTCGTGGCAGGCGCAGCACTTTCCCAAGGTCAAGTGTAGATTTCGTGGCAGGCGCAGCACTTTCGCAAGGTCAAGTATAGATTTCGTGGCAGGCGCAGCACTTTCGCAAGGTCAAGTATAGATTTCGTGGCAGGCGCAGCACTTTCGCAAGGTCAAGTGCCAAATTCGTGGCAGGCGCAGCACTTTCGCAAGGTCAAGTACAAAATTCGTGGCAGGCGCATCACTTTCGCAAGGTCAAGTACAGAATTTGTGGCAGGCGCAGCACTTTCGCAAGGTCAAGTGCAAAATTCGTGGCACGCGCAGCACTTTCGCAAGGTCAAGTACAGATTTTGTGGCAGGCGCAGCGCTTTAGCAAGGTCAAGCACAGATTTGAGCAGCCGGGGCTCGAAAATCGCAACTTTTAAGTACGAAAGTAGTACGCGAAGTCAACTTTCGCAGCTGGGGCTTGAAAATCGCAACTTTTAAGTACGAAAGTAGTGCGCAAAGTCCACTTTCGCAGCCGGGGCTTGAAAATCGCAACTTTTAAGTACGAAAGTAGTACGCAAAGTCCACTTTCGCAGCTGGGGCTCGAAAATCGCGACTTTTTAGTACGAAAGTAGTACGCGAAGTCCACTTTCGTAGCTGGGGCTCGAAAATCGCAACTTTTAACTACGAAAGTAGTACGTGAAGTCCAGTTTCGCAGCTGGGGCTCGAAAATCGCAACTTTTAAGTACGAAAGTAGTACGCGAAGTCAACTTTCGGGGATTGAACATCGCAACTTTTAAGTGCAGAGAAAGATGGGTAGATAGATAGATCAATAAACAGATATAGAGATAGCTAGAGAAATAGATAGAAAGAGATAGAGAAACAGAGATAGACAGAGATAGATAGATTTGTAGATAGATAGACAAATAACTAGCTAGATAGATAGAGATAGAGAGATAGAGAGGTAGATAGATAGATAGTAGATCTATAGATAAATCGCAACTTTTAAGTACGAAAGTAGTACGCGAAGTCAACTTTCGCAGCTGGGGCTTGAAAATCGCAACTTTTAAGTACGAAAGTAGTGCGCAAAGTCCACTTTCGCAGCCGGGGCTTGAAAATCGCAACTTTTAAGTACGAAAGTAGTACGCAAAGTCCACTTTCGCAGCTGGGGCTCGAAAATCGTCGACTCGAAAATCGCAACTTTTAAGTACGAAAGTAGTACGCGAAGTCAACTTTCGGGGATTGAACATCGCAACTTTTAAGTGCAGAGAAAGATGGGTAGATAGATAGATCAATAAACAGATGTAGAGATAGCTAGAGAGATAGATAGAAAGAGAGAGAAAGAGACAGAGAAACAGAAAGAGAAAGAGAAAGAGAAAGAGAGAAAGAGAGAAAGAGAGAAAAAGAGAGAGAGAAAGAGAAGCAAGGGGCCAAGGACAGTTCTCCAAACTATAGTTGTTCACTGCTTTGAAACTTCCGCCCCCCGGCTCTGCCGGACCTTACTTGTAGCATTCTTCCTATTAGTAATAGTCGGCAAATCTGGTGTTGATAGTCATTGCTGAGCTTCTTGCTAGCTTGTAGGAAAGATGAAACTATTGCTTTATATAGACATTACCAGAAAGCCTTGGTTCTGGGTGCTTCTGGAACATACCGCTTTTTGGGTTAGGTAAACTTTCCTCCATCTGAAAGCAGGTTTCTGAACTTTTCGACTTCCATTTGCTTAAGCCAGCTGGAAAAGAATGACACAAAATCCAGTAGTGATAGCTTCCCTTTAACACCAACAATTCACGTGGAACCCAACATGGAAATGGTCCCTTATAAAGGAAAATCGTCTTCCAGGACCCCTCTGTCAGGTTCCATGTTTGTGGATGGGAGGGTACCCATTTTCTTGGGTTGGATTAAAGGGAAACCAAAAGGAACACCACCGTCTGTTTTTTGACGAGGATTCCATATTCTGACACATACCCTTTTCAATTGAGGTGGACAAAGGGACCTTGACGTCCTGGAAGTATGGACGCGTTCATCCCCAGCTTTGACATAAACTCACATGTAGGTCGGAACTGGAACTGGGGGTACCACTGCCTCTCACACAAGCAATATCCTATATAGAACGACCCTGTTCCGCCATCCTCCCAAGGTCACACTATCCAGAATCCTCCATCAACTCGCCATTGTCAACGCATTATGGTGGATCCAACAAAGGACATCAATGCAGGAGGCATTGTGTTTAAACCTATAGTTTCATCTCTCCTACAAGCTAACAAGCTACCAAGAAGCTCAGCAATGACTATGAACACCAGATTTGCTGCCTAAGAGAAAGGATGCAACAATGTCTGAGCAAAGAAAATCGCTCTCCACTTGACTGCTTTTGGGCAACGGATCTTTGGACTTTAGCTTTTTGGTAAATACAGATGGTGACCTGGTCATATCAAAACAATATGCATGACTGTTCCATGGACCAAGTTTGGTTGAGGTTGGAAGAGAGATATCCCACACTATATACAGTTTTTTTTTTTTAAATCAAACCCCCAACTTGTTGGGTTCACTTGTTGCAGGCGCTGCGCATGTGCCAGCTGCGGCAGCTCTGCCGGGACAGCGGCTTGGAGCTCACTGGCAACAAGCCGCAGCTGGCCGCGCGCCTCGCAGAAGGTCGCCACAGAACCCAGGCGCGCAGAGGGGGAGCTTTGGGGCGGGCGCCCCCCCCCAAACCTGGGTGGTCCGTTCAGCGAAACCAAGTAAAAACCAACAAATCAAGTAAGTTGAACCAGCCATCCGGTTCAACTTACTTTATTTGTTGGTTTTAGTTGGTTTAGCTGGACGGACAACCCAGGTTTGGGGGTTCTCTTCCGTTTCCATTTCCAAGTCTGGCGCGGTTTCAAGGAGTTTGAAGAATCTTTGGAATTTCGTGGCTCTGCCGAACTTTGGGCTTTGTTTATCGCTCCAGGGAACCACCGGTTCCTGCAGGCTCTCGCGCAAGGCCGCAGTGCCGGAAGTCCAAACAAATTAATCAGGGTGAAAGTTCTTCCTCTTGGGCTTTACGGGTGGAGCAAGTCTGCCCGCTACGAATCCAGCAAAGAGAGCTCCTTCTGGGCGATGACTTTTATACACCAGAAAGACTTCAAGTATTGACCATGCCCGCCCAAAATGAGAGTTGTTTCCACTGGCGTGTTCACTCAGTCCACATCTGTCAAAGGTCGGGCTCGGAGCGGCGAGTCGACAGGTCTCCGAGCAGATGTTGTGAAAAGCTACCTGGGAAGGGAACAAAAAAAATCGTGTCCCGGACTCAAGCTGGAAGGGTCCGGGAATAGTATTAAGAGGCTTCTAAACGTTTGGGGCACTCGGAGGCAAGTTTTTGGAAACACTGCCAACTGTAGACTTTAGCTACCCGATTTGGGCCTTTGAGGGAATCGATCCACATGCCGCAGTCAAGCAAACGAAGCAAACCCAAGCCAACCCAAGCCAACCACCCTGATCCAAGTCAAACACACCAACCTGAAATATGTCAACCAAGCCCCCCAAACCATCCCAAGCCATCTACCCAAAAATGCCCAGCGCTAGATTTGAGCAACCGTCCAACTCTAAGCCAAGCCAACCAAGCCAACCAACCGCAAGCAGCAAGCAGCAAAACCAACCGACGCAATCAGCGCACCAACCCCCGGGCCCCCAACTTTTGCCCCGCGAGCGGGGGCAGCTGGGGCCGTGGCCAGGAGGAGGTGCTGGCATTGCGCCAAGGCTTTGCCGCGAACGGCGTGCGGAAGGCGGCCAAGGCTCGGCACGTGGGACCGAACTTTGGTTCCTTACCCAGAGGGTCTCCTGTTACCTTCTAAGGACGTACTTAGACCCCTTTAGAGCCATCCTCAGAAGGTAGCAAGGGACCCTCTGGGTTAGGGTCCTAATCGTTTGGCGGAGCGGAGCTAGCCGGATTTGCGCGAGAAAGCCCTGGACAACCGAGAAGGCACAAAGCCGCCCGGGACGGCTTTTCCGATTCTCCAGGCGCAGGCCCGCAAGGCCACCCAGCGGAAGCCGGAGCCCGCGGAGCCCGCGGAGCCCGCGGAGCCCGCGGAGCCTGCGGAGCGCAAGGCCAAGGCCAAGGCGAAGGCCAAGGCGGCGAGGACTGTGAACGAGGCTGGGTCTGAGAATGTGGGTCAAAACCGTTTTGGGGATCCCATGTTGGTTGGGATTGGTGAATTCACCACTCATTTTAGGTTACCTATTGTAGTGGGGATGATGTTCACTGGGTGTTGCGATGGAGTGTATGGGTGGCTTTTCCCGTGAAGTGAAGCTAAACATATTCCAAGGGTTTGGGTGTTTGAGGCGGTTCTTGCAGCAAACAGCACGCAAATTTGGGTTGCCTGAAAACCATGCCTTCTGAGTTTCCAAGCCTATGTTACACCTGTTTCCTGCTGATGCATGTACAGGTAGCGGACAAGGTGCAAAGAGGGCAATGTTTTTTTTTTTTTGTGATATGCGGAAGCAGGGCGAGGTGGCCGGAATGATGTGTTTGGGCTGTCTCCCCTCCCCTTGCCCAATATTTATTCACTTGGCCTAGACAAAAGAACACGAAAGGCCCCGAGGCACGGCTTTCAGTGGCCTTCCTTTTGGACTACCCCCGCAGTGAACTGGTTGATGCTTTTGGACGGTTCAGGTTTAAATGGCCACCGATCTTCCGGAGCCAACTCGAGGCCAGGAGATGACGGACCAATAAAACTGATACTGAGCAGGTTGATCCCATGTCCACTCTGCTCATTCATGATTTCACATCATTCTCAGCTGTGTTGACCATTCTTTCTTGAGAGTAATCCGGTGCTGGGCGCGGGTATCCCTGTTTTCAGGGGGACCTAGCTGTTCCAAGGCACTCCCCAGCAACATGAAGACTATGTGCTTTGCCAATGCATGGTTGTTGTTGAGAAACCTTGCACATTTTTGCTTCTTGTGGTTTTGTGGTTGAAATCAGATCCCCACTCAACTGCTAAAATCTGAGATCTTTTGGCTCCCCTTCCAACGTCAACCAGTTGAATGCCTAGGTTTCCCAGTGCCCTTTCACCCTTTTTTGAGGGAGGGTTCCCCCACTAAAACAGACTACAGAACAAAAAGTTGGTACCCTTCTTCCCTTCTCTCCCCTTTTTTTTGGGGGGGTGTTGGGTTCCCCTGCCACAAAGAAATAGGCTACAGACCGTGGGGCAGGGGTGAGGCCTGGGCGCTCCTTTCGCCAGGAGGACTTCCGGAAGCTCATGTGGGCCTTGGAGGACGGCGAGCTGCTCTGCGCCTGCGGGGAAGCCTTGAAGGGACGGAGCCTTTGAAGCGACTAGCTGCGGGCTGCCCACCTCACCTTTGACTTCCCCGTACCTAAGCTTTGGTCCATGTTGCTTGGATGTTAGGCCTTTAACTTTTTGCCAACTAGTGGGTGTTCCATGAAACCACTAAAAGTTAGACTTTTAGCAGGGGAGCAGAAAGCAACCGAGCTGAAGCTACTAGGTGCGGGTTGCCCGTAACAAAAACGAGGTCTCTCCTTGGGCTTTGTCCCCTCGCAGGAAGTTCCTTCTGTTGATTGGGCCCATCATCGTCTTTGGCCCACCGGTCATCATGGTTTGCATATCCGTTTATTAGCTTTGAGGGCCAGCAGTCTTGGTGCTCACATTGCTAGAGCATCCACAAAAGTCAGATTTCCCCCGAGGGAAAACCACAAGATGGACGTGTCTATGCTTTCAAAGCACTGGTCTACCCAGCGCGGAGCGAGTCCTTCCTAGGAACGGCCGCTTCGGGTTCTTTCTCTTCTGCAGAAGCTGCAGCCAAGTGGAGCGACTGGAGAAAGCGGCAGGGCGACTGCAGGCGCGACATCGAAAGTTGCAAGCTGGAGCTTGCATGGCTGTTGTTGGAAAACACTTTACATTGTTGCTTATTGTGGTTCAGTGGGAAATCCCCACTTAGCGGCTTTTTTTATTTGCTCCCCTTCCAACGTCAACCAAGCGTTGGAGCTTGGACGTCCCAGTTCGACAGATCAGGTGTGGGGAAAGCATCAACCCGCAGCTCTTGCGGAGCGGCCGTTTTTAGTTGCTACCCTTTCATAGCGTTTGCTTTTTGAATCAAGCCTCCCCTCGCACGGCACGCTGGTCTCATGAGCGTGCTTGTCATCACTCAAAAAACGGATTCCCAGCTTGGCACATGTAAATTTGAGGCCGCACAACCTGCCAACCGACAGCATCTCTCAGCTCCGCCACCTTCACGGCAAAACCAAGGGACCCTGAGTCATCGACTGCACAATGGTTCCTTGTTCAGAAAAAATGAATCAGCCACAGCAATTGCTCGAGGGTTGATAAGGATTGTGGCTTTGAGACTCTGGCAGGCACCAGGGATATGGAGGGGGAGGGGTGCAAGTACCAAACAGAGTTGACACCAAGGGTCTCTGTGTGTGTGGACCACTCAAGTGACGCCCTCGAAACTCAGTTCACCCCTCTAAATCGTGGCTTTACAGTTCCCACAAGTAAACTTGACCCATGAAAATGTGCACGAAAAGACCCAGTCGGAGGTTGTCCTTCAGACAAAGAGCCAAATTTCAGGACCTCCCCACTCCCGACCTTTCCGGCGAGGGTGTCAACTGCCCTTTCCGGCTCGGTCTCGAGCCCGTATTTCAACATGCAGAGGATGATCCAGGGGGCCATTAGCATGGGCTGTTGAAGATTTGGTAGGGCCGATTCCAGTGGCAAGCCAAGAAGACACAAAAAGCATGGTGCCGTTTTCTATGGTGCAAAGAGTATCCCCTAAAGTGACAAACTCAGGATGAGAATCAACGGTAAGGTGATGTTTTGTTTTTCTCACAAAAGGGTCTGCGGGGGAACCTCCTTTTGGTTGGATTTAACGGAACACAAGTTGCAAAGCGCCATTTTTGTTTGTTTTATTTCTAGACATTGGCCTGGAGGTTTTCGCCGGATTTGTTTTTAGGACGCGGAGCTCGCGGTGGTGCTGTACCTCGAGCTGGAGGCCCTCGCGCCGTCTTCCGTGCGGCTCCACGCGCGGGGCGCCAGGGACTGCGGCAAGCTGGGCGCTTGGGCGGAGGAGGCCGCCTGGCGCCTCGGCGCTTTTGGCTCGCTGGGAAGCGGGAAACGGGAAATGGCTGTGGCGCCAAAAAAACACACGGAAATTCCCAAAATGGCCTTGGAAGTCTAAAACCTGCGTAACCCTAGCTCTTGAATTTTGAGCCAAATGAGCATAGGCTTCCCTTCATGACGGTGTCCCTTTGTCCTCGGCTTTTTTTTCCGGGATTTGGCTTGTCTTGAAGCCAGGCTCCAAGCATAGGTGTCCTTTTTGGCTTAGTGTGGTGAAAAATAGATGGGCTTCACTGGTTTACATGGGGTTTTACAAGGGCCATCTTTTTTTGTTTCCAAAAGGACACATGGAAACGAAGGGAACGAGTGGTGGAGACCGCGGAGAAAACTCGGAGGCCGTGTGGCGCGTGTTTTTTGTTTTGTTTTTGTATGCTGACCCCAATAGGAAGCAAGCCCAGTCTATGGAAATTGGGGGTGCTTTTCCCTGAATTTAGTCAGGAATCATCACTGTTAGAGGGGAAAACCCCGCAATGAATAAATCTGGGGTTGATGAATATGGGGTCAAGGATCATTCAGAACATCCATGGTTGAATTTTGACTCATGGAATATTGGAGCTCAGTGGATTGAAAAGTAGGGATGGGATCCGGAAACCGTGGAAAGTGTGAAGGTGACGGATGGGATCATTCAGGGATCCATGGGATTTCGTTGAGGAAGGGGTCATTGTTGCGGAATTTTGGAGCTTAGCCATGTGTTTGTTCCGTTTGTCTGGCCCAGCTGAGTTGATTCACCAGCCTCGATGAAAGGGGATGCGCTTGTCATCATGGATCCATGTCACAAGTGAGTTTTCCATGACCAGCTCCCATGCCCAATGCTGCTGGTCCTCTTAGCAGCAATGGTATGTCTTAGGCAGGATGGAAGGCTGGCATTCATGCTTACTGGAGGGACATGCTGCGACTGAGTTTAGCTGGTGGTTACTGCCTATGTGTTTTGGTTTCACAATGCCAAAAACAAGCAGGCAGGACGTTCAGAAGGCAGCTAATGGAGAAGAATCAGCATGGGTGTCCTGCATGGTGCTTGTCTTTGGTTTGCCCTACAGGGAAATACAGCCAATTCGCGGCTCTGCCCAAACCGGACCAGCGGTCAGTCCCGCGTTTTAGGCTGGTTGATCTCTGCTTGTGACCTGGTCTCAATCCGATGGAAGCAGCTCTGTGGCTTTCTCATGCCACTCTCGGATCTTGTTGGGTTCATCTCTGCGCCGAAAGGGCAACCGTGCTTGTGGACAGGAAATGTTGCGACCATAGTGCGGCCACCCGCAAAAGCACGCATTGGACATTGCTCGGCTTTGCCTTCAGATTTTGCGTGCTTTGTTTTTTTGGCCGAGGGGGACCATTCTTGGGCAAGGTTGCTGGTGATTTGGAGCCTCGGAGATGGTTGTAAGCTGATCTCCAACGTGTCGATACCCACCCCACCCCACCCCACCCCAGCCCATTCCACCCCTAGCCCCGCAGCGCTGTCTCACAGGTTGGAGGCCAGCGAGCCGCGGGAGGATTGGACCAACCCCAAAGCGCTGCTTTTTACAGAGGACGGCCACTGTAGTTGTTTTGCTGGGTCCCTGGTTTTTGGGGCCTGGCCTCGTTGGCGCCCTGGGTCGATCGAATCTGGTGGTTTGGTCGATGGCCATCAGAGTATTGCTCAACTGATCACTTTAGAGGCGTTTGGTGAGGAAATCAATCGGAAGCGAACGAAAGGGATGAGCCAGCCGGACAATGATTGTAGTTCACCTTGATCGATCTGGCCAGGAGGTTTCCGAGTTTTACCACTTCGCCCTTCGCGCAAGCTGTTCAGCAGAAACCAACTTGCCCCAGGTCAATAGTTTTAGTTCAAGTACTCTGCATTGAACGTGGCCTGTCTTCCATGGAGCACTTGTTCTTTTACTCACTCAATCTCCAACCAGCCTATCCCATGATGCAGGTTCATCGGTTCATCTTCCATGCGCACAAGCAAAGTGCACTCATTTCAATCATCCGGTGCCTGGAAGTGCGAGTATGTCTTCCGGGGGTTTGTTTTTAGGAGGTGGAGCACTTGGAGCGTCGTGGCTACGTCTTCCCCTACGATGACCTCGCGGAGCGCCTGGCACAGCTCGGCGCCGTGCTGAAGAGCGCGGCCGCGGCGGGGGTGAAGGTCAAGGCGGCTTGGTGAAAGGCGGTGCTTTCTTTGCCTGTCCTTTTGGGCTCTGTGCTCCAGGCCATTTTGGTGGGGTCCCATGTGGGTCAAACTAAACCAGGAGATGGCTGTGGGTCAAAAATAGGTACCCAAAACGGAAGCCCGGGAAATGGACACATGGACCAAAGCCTGAATTTTTCTGGTGGTTTAATTTTGACCCAGACCCATATGGATCGCAGGTTTTAGTCCTTGGTTCCATTTAGCAGGGTTCCAATTCAGGTACCTATTTTTGACCCGCAGCCATATGCTCACTACACCCAAAAAGTTTAATCCCACAGCCGCTACCAGGAGTGTCCTGAGAACTGACTACAGTGATGGGCTTGAGGTCAGCCAAGTTTGCAACCATGGTAAAGGGACAACCACTGATCCCCCGTCCTGGAATTATTATAGCAAGACTAAAACTTGGTTTGAGGGCCAATTTGTGTGATACCAAGGAAAGTGACAAAAGACAAATGCCAAACTGCCTCGGACATGGGTCTGTTGTTCTTTAGGGTACCTGATTGGTTTACCTTTAAACCAAAAACCGTTGCGCCATGGTGGTGGTCCGATTCCTGAAAAAGGAGCCACGCCCATATCACCAAGTGTCATTTTCAGCAATGGTGCTAGGCGTGGGCCACCTTTTGTGATGCCCGATGGTCACCTTGGTCACTGCTTTCCTTCCATTTGCTTATTTATTTATTTGTTTATTTATTTTACAAAAGCAGTCCCCTCGTTGGTTTTGAAAGGATTCTATTTCATTACTGCATGGACATGTTTTCTCATTTGTCCAGGGGCGAAAACGCAAATGGACGTTTCTGATTTGACTTTTGTTGCTGCGGCGATTTTTAGAGAACCGTGAGAACCATTCCTTGCCTCTTCGCCGCCCAGTAGATCGGCCCATGAAGATGCTGACCTGTTTCGGCTAGCTCCTCTAATCCCAAGCCGATTCGTTGCAGCATGAATCAACCTGGGCAAAGCCCGGAGATTGCAGTTTGGTTTCCTGGAGAAGAGACAAGACTTCCAGGCTTTTGCAACAGGTCACATGCTTCATTGGCATCAATGACATTCTACAGGACTAGAATCAACTTGTTTCCTGAGATCCTGACAAAATGGCAATGGGTCAAAATCCTGTACCCCCAGTGAACATCCCAATCCCCACTAAAATCCCGACTAAAATCGGTGGTGCACCTACCCCAACTTTATCATCCCATTGGTTTTGACAACCACAGCCAAATACCTGGTTCCTACCCACATTTTCCGGCCAGAAGGGTCGTGTGCCGTTAGGTGGACGCGCTGCCGCCGGCCGTCCAGCGCTATTTGGAGCCGACGCCCTGCGCCAGGCGGACGCCCGGCATGGCCAGCTAGGATTGGTGGTGCGTGTGTGCGTGCGTGCGTGTGTGTGTGTGTGTGTGTGTGTGTGGATGTGGATGTTATGTTGTACAGAATACATATCAATACAGTATGTATGTGTTAGCATATGTATGTAGTAATATATGTATATAGATACAAGTATGTATGTAATGTAATGTAATGCAATGTAATGTAATGTAATGTAATGTAATGTAATGTAACGTATATATGTATGTGTCTCTGGATGTGTGTTGGTATCTGTGCCAGTGTTTGCTTCTGTGTGTGTGTGTGTGGTCTTTGTGCGTCTCTGTGTGTCGTTGTGTCTCCTATGTTTGTGTGTGTCTCTGTGTTTGTCTATTTGTGTGGTTGTGTGTGTGTGCGAGCGTGTTTGGGCATTTGTGTGCGTCCTTATTTGTTTGGTTTGTTTGTTTGGTTGTTTGTTTGTTTATTTATTTATCAGTTTATTTATTTACGTATCTGTTGGCTTGCTTGCGTGCGTGCGTGCTTGCTTGCTTGCTTGGTTTGTATGTTTCTTTGTGTGTTTGTTTGTTGTTCGTTGTTTGTTGTTTGTGGTTTGTTGTTTTGTTGGTTTGCTTGCTTGCTTGCTTGCTTGCTTGCTTGCTTGCTTGCTTGCTTGCTTGCTTGCTTGCTTGCTTGCTTGCTTGCTTGCTTGCTTGCTTGCTTGCTTGCCCTCTTGCTTGCCCTCTTGCTTGCTTGCTTGCCCTCTTGCTTGCTTGTTTTGTGTGTGTGGGTGTTTGGTTATGCGTGTGTGTTTGTGTTTGTGTTTGTGTGTGCGTGTATCAACAGAGACAGAATCAGGGGTGCATCCCTTGAAGCCCCACCAGGTCTGAAAATGCGCTTGCGCGTCCGTGCCGCGATTCATAATAGGGAGGGCCTGGGCGCTGTGCTATTCATCGCCAACAAATGGGTATGGGTCAAACTTAAACCACCAGGGGACCGCAGGTTTTAGTCGTTGGTTCCAAAAAACCAGGGTGCCATTTTGGCTACCCATGTTTGACCCACAGCCAAATGAATATCCAACATTTGTGAGCTCGTTGCAGTTTTTGTTTGGTTCCTAAAAAGCATCCAGAGCCCTTGTCGGCAATGGCCAGGCCGAGTGGCATCGGTGTTCCTTTTCGAAGCGAGCGCCGGTGTTTGAGTGAGTGGCATTTCTTCCATGAATTCAACCCGGAAATTTCTGGGAGGCACTGATTCTTCTTGATACGCAAAGAGCAAGTTCATATCATTTGGTCAGTCTTGAGAAGATTTGAGAAGCAAAGCCCAAGCTCATATCATTTCTTCAGTCTTGCTATGCAAAGAAAAGAACATCATATCCGTTCTTCAGTCTGAAGGAAAGAGCAAACCCAAAGCAACCAAAACCTTCGAGCGCACCTGGGCTCTCCATCGCAGGCTGCGCGGGGAGGCCGAGCAGCTGGTCGCACAGGCGCTCACGCGGGCGCCGCAGCTGGCGCGCATGCGAGGCTTCCAGTGGCAGGCACTTCGGAGACTCGTAGCCCAAGAGACCCACTTGGAGGGCCAACCTACCCCAACACCACTCCCCAAAACTGGAAAAGAAAAAAGAGAAACCTGGGAAATCTCCCGGGTTTCGTAATGTTGACACCAGATTGATGAACCCAGGTTTATAATTGCGGGGTGTCTCCGGGTGAAATGTGGGGAATCAGCCCGCTATTTTGGAGGGCCCCTCACCCCCTACTAATACTGCAGGGGTTGATTAATCTGGGGTCAACATCGCCGAAATCCGGACATTTCCCAGGGTGATGTCCCGCTTTGGGGTGTGGTTGTGGTTGGTAGATTGGCACTTCAGGGTCTCTTGGGCTACCAACAGGCTTTCCCCCACAGAACCGGGCAGTTCTGCAGCAAATACTATGCATGGTGTGCATTGTAGAAGTTGTGAAGTATTGCTTCGTGCTAGCTCAGTGTGTTTGGCATGGGTATAGTAGTGGCTGAATATTCTTAGAGTAATTAGTTATTGGTTGTGTGTGAGTGTAGATTTGAGTTTGTCTTTTCTTGCAGCCAAGATAATATCTAGCTTTTCACTCAAGTAATTATTGTTTTGTTTGCAAGGGAAATCCGCGGGCAACCGTTCCCCATTTCCCGCCCCCCCCCCCCCCCATTTCCCGCCATTTTGAAACCAACAGGCCCCATCTATGGCCTCTGACGATGTGAATGGAGAGGGGGGCCGAATTTGGCGCGTGGGTGCGGCTCTTTGGCTTCCGTTGGCTTGCGCGCACGAGGGGCTGCACCGCGTGCTGGAGCTGGGGGGCCGTTGTCTGCTGGCGGACGAGATGGGCTGCGGCAAGTCCGCCCAGGCCCTTGCGGTGATGGCGGCCTACAACGCCTGGCCCGCGCCACGGAGTGAGTCGCAAGCGAGCCGGAGAACGTGGGGAGCATAGGCGTCCTTTTTGGTAGGTTTGCTTAGAAAAATCGAGGGCCCTGGTTTAGCTGGGGTTTATTCCATCTAAACCAGGGCCGTCTATTTGTCCAAAAGGCCACCTATGGTCGGGAGGGTCAGACGGTGACGTGTTGATGTGTGTTGAAAGGACTTGTGTTATTTGTTTGATTATTTTATCTTGTTGGTTTTAAAGGGAATCGAGTTTACTACTGGAAATATCTTGTATTTGTCCCTCAGGGGGCTTAAGCAAATGGAAGGTCATAGCCTCCAAGTTTGGAGACACGCGGAGCTGAAGGAGCTCTGGCTTCCATGTTCCCGGCTTTCGGTTTTTTTCCTGGATGGTTCGTGGGCGCCCAAATTTTCTCCCCGGCAATTGGGCGATCAACTTTCGGGAGCGCTCGCAGGAAGCTCTGATGCACTGGGGCAAAGGGAACATTGGGTTCTTCTGGGGGTCCCATCTTGTTAGAGCGCGGTTCCGAGAAATTTCGGAGACTTGCCTTGGCTTGGGCATTGGCACTCGCGTCCCCATGCTGGAAGTTGTAAGGGTGACCTGGTGACCCGTATCCAGACACCAGCTGGTCATCAGCACTTGGGATCCTGGCCGCCGCATTCCCCCTTGTCAGAAGGCCGTCTGGACAGAGGGGGAAGTGGCGATGGGGCAAATTCCGTGTTTGGTGTGGTGCGAGACCTGGCTTCAAAAAGCAAGCGCGAGAAAAAGTGAATTTCCTCACTTGCATGCTGGACGTTGGCTCTGTTGTTGGTTGTTGTATTTGGTTTGAGGGCAGCTCGTCAAGAAAAGCACGTTACGTTGTGAATCCACTGGGGGCTGGCTGAAATGAGCTTCCAAGCTCATTCATTTGACAGCTGCCACAAATTATGCGAGAAACAAATGGCAGTGGGTCAAAACCAATGGTACCATTTTAGGTGCACTACCCACTGGGATGTTCATTGGGGTTACAGGGTTTTGACTCATGGCCAAATAGTGCATGCATGGCCTGGATACTTGAAGCCAGCTTACAATTTTTCAGGAATTTGGGGACAGTGGTGTTGTTTTTTTCCATTGAAGGTGATCGGGGGGGGATTCCAAGAGTCCAAGCTTCGCGGAGTTGGCGGCCTCGATCCATGGAGCCTTCCAATGAAAGCGGACACTCCCAGCCTTACGACCCGGACCCATGAAACAGAGGCGAGTGAGACCCATGGGTTGACCGAGGCCGCGGAGCTCCGAGCAACACATCTACAAAACACATGGCTGTGGCTCCTAAAGAACCGGAATTCCAAGATGGGTTGCCTGGGTAAGTGGGACACATGGACCAAAACCCGCGGAGTGCCAAATCTCCAGCTTAATTTTGAGCCACAGCCGAAGCTCCTTGACTTCTAGCTGGAATCTGGCCACTTAAGTCTCATGAGCGGAACCCTGAATGATTGGTTCTCCTTTGATGCCCCCGGACGAACTCCTGGACCACTTTGTGCGTGGTTGAAACCAAACAACACGGAGTCATCAGAAACCAGGGGTTCTGAACCGCGGTGCCTAGGAGTTCGCAACCATCAGTGCCAATACATGGAACCTGACAGGAGTTGTTTGTTGCCAGGAAAATGGTGCAAACCAGGACCCCCCCCCCCGAAATTCTTCAGATTCCTTCAGTAAAAAAGGGTAGGGTAAATTCCCCGCCCCGCTGAAAAGTGATACTGCGGCTGGACAAAATCCATATCGCACAACGAAATGAAGCCATGGTTGACACCATATGGTTCTAGGTCCCCCCAGTAGTGCTCTTTTGGGTGAGGGTTCCCCTACTAAAATCGACTACAGACAAAAGTTGGTACCCTTATTCTAACCTCTCTACTGGAGGACCTAGGGTTTCTTGGCATTTCCGGGGGGAGTCGAAGCAAACCACCGCTGAAACCTGAAAGAAAACGGAAGCCTTGGCTGAGCAGGGCTCCTTAAAAGATCTCCATCTTGCCATTTGAAACATGGGAGGCTTTTTCAACACCAGAATAAAGTTGGATTGCATTTTTTCAACACCAAGATAAAGTTGGACACCACCCTAGTTGCAATGAACCACCATGGACAAGTTGCCATGTTCGATCGGCGTTTTTTCATGCATCCGGATCGCTGCTGAGGTGCTCATCATCTGCCCCGCCTGCATGCGCCTGGCCTGGGTGGAGGAGCTCGAGACCTGGCTGCCGGCGCTGCTGCAGCCCAGGCGGTTTTGTGGCACGGATCCGGCGGGGTTTGGGGGGCCCCGAAGTCACCTCCCGAGGTCCGTTTCGGACTTGTATGGTTTCTTTTTTGGGGGGGGTTTGGACCATTTTGGGTAGGCCAGGAACTGGGTTTGGACCATTTTGGGTTTTGGTACATGTTGTTCCTGAGTTCCTGGACTTTTTGGATAGACCAGTTTAGTCTGGTACACAACAACTTTGGACTTCTGACCAATCCACGCAGGAAGTCAGCGAAAGAGCAGGCAGAGAACCTGTCATGACCAACGTGGAATCCCCTTCGCGGGGTGGGGGGGGTAGTTCAGAGCCTTAGGGTTCAACTAGGGTTGCGGATCTTGGGGTTCCTTGAGCCTTACCTTTGCGGGGACTCCATAACAGGTGGTCAAACCCTAGTTCTCACCGAATGATCCTCTTGAAACTCAGTGGTGGATTGAACCAATTCGCTTGAATGATCCAAAGCAATCATTCCACGAGGTAACCCCAGACACGCGATATTGCTTTCCTAGCAGACCAAAGCTCCGACTCTGAGCTAATCAACTCAGGATTTGAGGGTGCATGACTTAGCCTTTGCTCGGTCCTATCCCAAAGGGCCCAAAGGAAGCAAACAAAGCCGGCAGCCGTCGCGTACTGAAAGGCCCAGACCTTCTGTCGCTTAAGCCCGTTGCAAGCGGGCAACTGAGGATGGATGCCTTCAGATTGGTGGCCCACTTTGAGGGGCTCTTGTCTTGATTTTGACACTTCCCTGTCTATGTCCCCGCAGCTAGGTGCCCTTTTTGACCCCTTTTTTGGTGAGGGCCCCCCAACTAAAATAGACCACTGAAAAAAGTTGGTACCCTTAGTCTGACCTTTCTACTCGAGGACCTAGCTGTTCAACCCGGACAAATCTGGGCAAATTGTAGCGATAGCAGGTTGCTTTCTCAGTGGCTCGTATTTCGGGCTGGGGCATGCTTCTTGTTCACATCGACAACTCTCAGCCGAAGCGAATTCAACGAGTGTATCGGGCCAGCTCCAAGTTCAGCTTGTTATTGTCGTGTGTTGGCGGGGAAGCGACCTGAAGTGAATCATGTTTTCAGCTTTCAATCGGGCTTGGGTTGAATGACACTAGCAAGTAGTATGTCATGTTCACCACACAACATTATGCTGTGTTTTGCGCTCTTCTACACTCTGCCATCCTCAATCAGTGTAGCTAAATGACAGCAGCCTCAGCAAGGAAATCTATGCCCTCATCTCGAATGAACAGTGCTTTCTTGGGGATGCTTTCAGAAGCTCGCTCCAGCCACCGAGCGTCAAACAAGAGCTCGCTTCACACCAGACAATCCTCAGGGCCAAACAGGAGACAATGTTGCGGATGTGTTAGGCAAGACCATGGAGATGTCGGACCCCAAAGTCGCAAGCACATAGCAACCCAAGAGTGTTGAGTTGTGGATCAGGCACACAGAGCCTCGGCAGATAAAGGCAGTTCCAAAGTTCTTCCTGCCTTGCAAAGGGCTTTCTTGGGCAGAACCTTGCAAGTCTCCTCGGCCCCCAGCAATCGAAAAATCAGCTTCAAACCAGTGCAGTTCCTCTCTCCAAACCCTGAGGATGGCTCAAAAGGGGGGTCAAAAGGGGTCGATCAGTACGTCCTTAGGTACCAGGGGACCCTCTGGGAAAATACTTGCAACGGCTGGAGATGTTTCTGAGCAAACGCGAGATGGAACCCGAGCTGAACCTAGGAAAAGATTCTCAGGACTGATCTCGGACGGGAATGCAATGCCTTTGCTGCCCCAGAGTTGCCTAGGCCAAATGCAGTTTGTTTTTGCAGCAAGGACAAGACACTGCTCAACAAGTGCCTGGTTTTTTCGAGGCCTAAGCAATTCCGGAGGAAGATGCCAAGCTCAAGGGGGCCCTATTATCCAAACGCTCGACTAGAGTCGGCGGGGCTCATGCCCGCAAAGTATGCTGCTGGTCGAGTTGCGCCATAGCGGTTTCTGGATTTTTGTCCACTTGTTCATCCATGTACAAACGTTCCAATGCCAACCAAGAAAGAACTCCATTGTTTCCATCTTGCTCATTCCCTTTGAACAGCCGCAGGGTAACCGTTGTCAGGCATGTGCATGTCATCCACTCCTCCAATGACATGCTGCCGCAGAGCCGGAAACCGGAGGCGCGCGGAGGAGATTCCAATCAGTTGCCCTTTGCGTAGCTTCTTGCTTTCGTCTAGCAATACCTGCGGTGAGCACATCAGTCATTCAGGTAGAGGCCGGGTCAGGCTAAAGATTTTGTTTGGTGTTTGTCGGAGCCGGATTTGAGACACGGGAAGGGATATGTCACAGGCGACAGCTGAGAGGGGCGAGATGTTTCGCCCAAGCCAAAAACAGCTGTGATGAGTGGCACCACATCAACGGCTTCCATTTTGTCCTCGCGTTATGTGCGGAACGCTTGCCTCTTTTCGGCTGCCCCACACATACAAAGGCACACAAACGCGCACACGCACGCGCGCGCACACACACACACACACTTCCCAAGCACCCGCAAGACCACACAGAAGAGTGCACGCAAGATTCACAAAATCACGCGCACGCACACAGACACAGACACAGACACAGACACAGACACAGAAACACACAGAAACACAGACACACAGACACACAGACACACAGACACACAGACACACAGACACACAGACACACAGACACACAGACACACAGACACAGACACACAGACACACAGACACACAGACACACAGACACACAGACACACAGACACACAGACACACAGACACACAGACACACAGACACACAGACACACAGACACACAGACACCCAGACACACAGACACACAGACACACAGACACACAGACACACAGACACACAGACACACAGACACACAGACACCCAGACACACAGACACACAGACACACACAGACACACAGAGACACACAGAGACACACAGAGACACACAGAGACACACAGAGACACACAGAGACACACACAGACACACACAGACACACACAGACACACAGACACACACACACAGACACACAGACGCACAGACACACAGACACACAGACACACCCACACACCCACCCACCCACCCACCCACCCACCCACCCACCCGCCCGCCCACCCGCACGCACGCACGCACCCACATACCCACGCACCCACGCACCCGCGCACCCACGCACCCACGCACCCACGCACCCACGCACCCACGCACCACGCACCCACGCACCCACGCACCCACGCACCCCCGCACCCCCGCACCCCCGCACCCCCCCTGCACCCACGCTCTCACGCACTCACGCACCCACGCACCCACGCACCCACGCACAAGCGCACAAGCGCACAAGCGCACAAGCGCACAAGCGCACAAGCGCACACTCACAGACACACTCACAGACACACTCACAGACACACCCGCACACACACAACCATTGGATGGCCAAGTTGTGCGTGCAATCTGCAAAGTGCGGAGCTGCGCTCAGTCTTTAGTGCCTCGGCTCCTGCAGCATGGTTTTCCTGGCCCTTTCCTTGCCATAAGGATTTGTGGACACCATAAAACCACACACGCACACACCCGTGGATGTGTGGATGTTGCACAAGTACTGCTTCGTCAAACGATTTGGATTCCTGGAAGATGCGCAGTTGGAAAACTGAACTCCTAGCGCGGCACTCGAGTTTTGAGTTGTGTCCCCAGAGCCAACCAATGATATCCTGTTCTTGATGGCTGCTAGGCACCGGTGAGGCATTCACTTTCTCATTTGGCAATCGCTGCTGGGACCCCTCGCTCGCGGTGGTTTTCTTCCTTTTTCTGAAGGTGTCCTTTCAAAGCCATTCCGAAAGTATTTTTGTTTGTTTCCTGTTCTCTCGAAGTTTCCTTTCAAGGCCATTGCTGTTTTGTTTTGTTTTCTACCTTTTCGTGTACCCAAGCCCCGTTGTTTTCTGAAATCCCGGAGGCCCTGGGCCAGATCCGTGTGTGCATCGTGTCCTACGCCATGGCACGGCTTCTGTTCCAGAATCTGAGCCGTCACTGGAGCTTGGCCATCGTGGACGAGTCCCACTGCCTGAGGACCATCAACGGGAGGCACGCTGTGGGCATGGCTTCACTGCAGAGCGTTTCCTGCTTGCCACTGTGGCCAAAAGGTTTAGGCTGAAGGTCCTTTGAACCTTTGTGTTGGCATTTTCTTCATAGAGCCCAGATGAGCCACAATCAAAACCCGGGTAAGTGAAGGTTAGTAAGGGACGGTTCCAGCCATAACTTGCTGCGGATATCCGCCTTCTTGGCTTGGATATCGCGGACTGCGAGGTGTGGCCAGGGCACCTCGGCGATTCTGGAGCTCCTGAAGCCGGTGGCGCGGGTGTTGCTGCTGTCCGGCACACCCAGCCGCTCCAGCTACCTGGACATCTTCACGCAGGAGACCGCATCGGGGGAAAGACATCGACACGGGAGACTAGCAATTCAGCCCGCAGCAGGTGGTGGTTTGCTGTTCACATGGCTTTTGACACACATTGTTTGAACCCCAAAGAAACATATGCAGGGGGAAGAAGGAAAACGACGATAAGGGAGACTGCCCACAGCTGCGGGCTGTTTTTTTTTCTCTTTTTTTTCCAGATAGCTTTTGACACATTTCGAGCAGCTGGTGGATTGTTTTTTTGCCATGGCTTTTGACACACATGGTTTGAAGGTGTGTCATGTTGTGATTCTTAAGGCGTCCTAGGGCGCGAATGAGTTTGGGCAGCCAAACATTGAGACTTGATGCCTCGTGCATTGGACAGGTGATTGCGACAAAGAGCACAAGTCCCGTCAGTCCCGTCACAACGTAGAGCACTGTCGTTGTAGGCGTTTGTGTTTCAGCCCGGGGTAAGATGTGTTTTTTCTCGCATATGCCATCTAGGGTGCCTAAGCAGACAGGATTAAGACCACTCTCCAAGCCAATGGCATGAGCCATAGCATCCATTTCGCTGCCACGCGAAATCACTGGACAGCGCTTGATACGTGCCCGCCAAGGTTCAGAATCGTTCAAACTAGAAAACAGTTTGGATGTGGCTTCTGTGGATCCACTCCTGTAGATTAAACGAGCACCAACAGAGTACTACAACACCAGGAGGACGAAGAGGGGGGCTTGGAACATGCGTGAAATCCACGGTAAAAGGCGGAAATCACCAAACCCAGAGGGTCCCCTGGTACCTTCTAAGGACGTACTGAACGACCCCTTTTGACCCCAGCCATCCTCAGAAGGTAGGGACGCTCTGGGAAACCGTTTTCCCCGAGACATCTGGAAACCCGGCGCATTTCCAATTCCCCGCGTTCCCGTGAGGCGGATCTGTTGCGCCCGGGCCTGCTGGGCCAAGACTGGGCCGCCTTTGCGCGGGACTACGATGAGCCCGTCCTCTCGCCCTCCGGGCGCCTCGCTCGGCGAGCGAAAATCGGGCGCTCAGTTTCCGCCTTCGGGGCCGAGAAATGCGAAGGCCCAACACCGAACAGCAAGTTTTGCGGCTCGTCTAAATATATTTGGTGGGCCCCCACAATGGCGAAACGGCTTTCCTTCAAAAATGCGAATGAGACACTTACAATGAGACAAGACTTTAGGTTCAATTGGCTCATCTAGAAGCCATTTATGATGAGCAATAGAATTGTCTCCAGATTGTAGTCTCACCGAAAAGCAAATGGTGGCTCGTCCTTCTTTTTAGTGGGCCCCCGCAATGGCGCAACGGTTTTCCTGTTGGGGTTCCTTTAAAAGCACTAAAGGGGAGGAGGGTAGCAACTCCAAAAGAAGACACCCCTATGCACCGTTTTCGACTTTACAGCTTTGGTTTGCTTTTGGCCAGTCCTGAAAGGTCAGGCAGTGTTTAGATGGTCAGGGAGCCATTGGGGGTACATTTGTAGTCACTGGCCATTGTTGGCTTGAGACAAGCATTGGTTCCAGGCTTGGGGGGACCCTTCTGAAAAAGAGGCAGCGGCTTAGTACGCAGTCCTCGTCAGTCTGCTTGAGAACCTTTGGAGGAAACGTGTGGTTTTTGTCATGCCAGACACTAAATCAGATGGAAAGGGGCGCCAGGCTTATGACTTCCAAAGTTCCTTGGGAGACCAGGTAAGACTGGAAGACCATGATAATTTTCTTGGACTCCACTTTTGATAGTACTCTAAGCCAACCAACACCAACATGCTCTAGAACCACGAAATGGTCCAAGCCAGAAAGGAAGTGCTGCATAGCGGCAGAATCCATGAATTCCCCACATGAATGTGAATGTGACCTTTCCATGAGTTCTTCAAGGAATGTTATATTGCAGGGCTGGGCTTCTTCTTCAATTCCGCCTAGTTCCAAGCAAACCAAGCCAACAAAAGTGCTTGAGAGCGAGGCATGTGGTGCCCGGGCGCTGCCGCAAGAGCTGGCAACTGGCCCTGCTGCTGCGGGACGCGGTCATGGTGACTGGATGAGGGGGGCTGGGTGGCTGGGCGGCTGGGCGGCGGGGCCCGTTTTTCCATCCGCGCCGCTGTGCGGCACCTTTTGGTTGGTTGATGCCTTTCCGAGAAAAAAAAGGAAAAGAACACGGAACACAACAGCCACTGCGTTCCCACCAGATTGAGTTCTGAGACTCGAACTTCCCTGCAAAAAGCATCACGGACAACTGCTTTCTACAGTTGGCCAAGCTCACAGAGCGATGCTTGAAGGCTCGCAGCCTGCAACACCCAGCACTTTGAGATGCCCCTTGAAAACAATACACCGCCTACTCGGTGGCTTCCCAGCCATCATAGCCATCCCCTTTTCGGGTTGAGCGGTTTCCATTTCACCCACTAAAAGTTAGTCACTTTTAGCAGGGGATCCGAAAAAGGGCAGCCCAGCACCGTGACAGTACCCCTGGGAAAGAACCCATGGCACCCATCGGCTTAAATCCGAGGTGCGGCGCCGGAAGAGCGAGGTGCTGTCGGAGCTGCCGCCCAAGGTGTCTTGCCAATTCGTTTCATTCGGAGGGAGAAACACGGCCATGGGTCAAAACCCCGTATTCTCTTCATTTGTTTTAGTTGGTTTAACTCGGTTGGACGGCCCGGTTGTGTTTCATTTGGATCATTTTCGAGGTGGCCCCATGCAGGATCTATGGTTTCTGTGTTAACACGGCAGTGGATGTGACCGTTGTTGGTGTGTCGGTTCCTACCTTCCAATTGAAACTCGTGATCAACCACGCTTATGATCAAGCTGCTGCTCAGATTCTAGGCTAGCAGCCAAAGTCACCTCGCCACGTGCATGGGCTGCATGGGTCAAGACCCTGGTTGCCCTAAGGTTCAAGCCCCACCAAGGGGGACGGTTGACCCAGTTTGGATGATGATGAGTCTCCAAGTGCCCCATGTTTTGAGTTTATGTCTCACCAATCGAGTTGCCCTAAGGTTCAAGCCCCACCAAGGGGGACGGTTGACCCAGTTTGGATGATGATGAGTCTCCAAGTGCCCCATGTTTTGAGTTTATGTCTCACCAATCGAGTTGCCCTAAGGTTCAAGCCCCACCAAGGGGGACGGTTGACCCAGTTTGGATGATGATGAGTCTCCAAGTGCCCCATGTATTGAGTTTATGTCTCACCAATCGAGTTGCCCGAAGGGGGACGATTGACCCAGTTTGGATGATGATGAGTCTCCAAGTGCCCCATGTTTTGAGTTTATGTCTCACCAATCGAGTTGCCCTAAGGTTCAAGCCCCACCAAGGGGGACGGTTGACCCAGTTTGGATGATGATGAGTCTCCAAGTGCCCCATGTATTGAGTTTATGTCTCACCAATCGAGTTGCCCGAAGGGGGACGATTGACCCAGTTTGGATGATGATGAGTCTCCAAGTGCCCAATGTTTTGAGTTTATGTCTCACCAATAGAGTTGTCCTAAGGTTCCCCCATGTTTTGAGCTTATGTCTCACCAATAGAGTTGCCCTAAGGTTCAAGCCCCATCAAGGGGGACGGTTGACTCAGTTTGGATGATGATGAGTCTCCAAGTGACCCATGTTTTCAGCTTATGTCTCACCAATAGAGTTGCCCTAAGTCTCAAGCCCCACCAAGGGGGACGGTTGACCCGGTTGACCCAGTTTGGACGATGATGAGTCTCCAACTTCCCATGTTTTGAGCTTATGTCTAAGTGCCCTATGTCTTGAGTTTATGTCTCACCAATCGAGTTGCCCTAAGGTTCAAGCCCACCAAGGGGGACGGTTGACCCAGCTTGGATGATGATGAGTCTCCCATGATTTGAGCCTATGTCTCACCAATAGAGTTGCCCTAAGGTTCAAGCCCCACCAAGGGGGACGGTTGACTCATTTTGGATGATGATGAGTCTCCAAGTGCCCCATATTTTGAGCTTGTGCCTCACCCCACCAAGGGGGACGGTTGACCCAGTTTGGATGATGATGAGTCTCCAAGTGCCCCATGTTTTGAGTTTATGTCTCACCAATCGAGTTGCCCTAAGGTTCAAGCCCCACTGAGGGGACGGTTGACTCAGTTTGGATGATGATGAGTCTCCAAGTGCCCCATGTTTTGAGCTTATGTCTCACCAATCGAGTTGCCCTAAGGCTCAAGCCCCACCAAGGGGGACGGTTGACCCAGTTTGGATGATGACAATCCTTGCGTGAATTACGTTGGTAATATGTGCCCCTATGAGTTTAATGGTGGTTTGAACCCCAGGTCAGGTTACCCTTAATTGGTGGTTTGGATTCGTGGTTTGGGGATTTGAACCCTTGGTGTAGAGGGTAAACGAGGAACCCACCACCACGCCACCAAACCACCAGGCTTCAAACCACCAAACAACGAGGGAAGCTGAGATTCTTGCTACTTGATTGGATGCTTGACGGTTTATTTTGGCTCAACGGGCCCCAAACCGGAAACCCTTGAATCTATAGAGGGAAGCTGACCATTTATCAGGGTTCCATTTTGGGGTTATCCTATGTTGGACCCACAGCCATATTCGCCCCTATGTTTCTTTCTGGCAACTGAACCCGCTTTTAGTTTGTGGCTCACAAGCATGGTGGTTATATTCGCCCCTACGATTTTCATGGCGGCCACCGAACCCCAGGGCTTGGTTTCTTGTAAACGGTGGTTTTCCTTTTTATTTTGGTGTTGAACAACCACCAAACCACCCAAACCGGCTCCAAACATCACCACACCCTCAAACCACCAAACCGGCTCCACACCACCAAACCCCCGGGCTCCAGCGGCTCCGGGCTCCTCACCACCAAACGCGCCTCGGAAGCCTCAGCTTTTGGCGCCGCAGGTGCGGCGCCTGGTGCCGCTGGGCCTCTCCGGGGACCTCTCCCGGCAGCTCACGGAGCTGGAGCTGTCGAGTCGCACCGACTACGAGCGCTGCGGCCTGCTGAAGCTGGCGGCGGCGCAGACGTGGCTCCGGGCGCCTCGGGGCAAAACCAAAAACAAAAAACTCGCTCGGCTCCACCAGCAAAACGCGGGAATGGGGGGGGGGGAAGGGTCTTGCGGAAGAGGAACGACCTTGCAGTTGCCGAAATGAATATGTTTTTTGTTGTTTGCTCTGTTGGTTTAGGGAATCTATCACTACTGGACTTTTTTCCAGTGGACTTCACCAAATGGAAGACTAACTCAACGAGTAGCTCCCAACGACCAACCGCAGGAACCCAAGACCCGTGCCATATCAGGGCCTTGAACCCCCCAAGGCCTCAAGCAATGAGGTCTTGGGCTAGGGCAAGAACCAACTATGCACTTTAACTACCAGCTTTGGTTGTTGCCCAAACAAGGAAGGCTGAATGAGGTTGTGGGATGTGAGAGCCCTGAAGATGTAGCTGGCAGTATGAGAAGAAAGCGGGCCCAGTCCCGGAAGGAGATTTGGTCGACTTTGAATTGAGGACCCCTTCCAGCATCATTGGTGGTGGTCTTTCCTTTTAGTGCGGGGTTGCATGGGATTACTGCTTCTAGGGGGGGTTACATGATTGTTTAGAGTGGGTATTTGGTCCTTCGGATAAATTCGACAGGATTCTTACATGCCTACTTGGGCTGCACCAAGTTGGTCCTACATTGTCGCAGGTCCAGGTGGTTCTACTTGTGAAGCTGGGAATGACACAGCTGACAACCGGAAGCGTTGGAAGCAAGGGTGTTGCTCGGACCCTCGGAGACATATTTCATAGAGATCCCTTTCCACTAGGGAAGGCAACCATGAAACAGAATGACACAGGACATGCTTGTTCTAGAGTTGGTATGAGGCATGCGCTATGTCCCACACGAAACAAATAATTCGAGCCATACTCAAAACCCGGGTACGCGTAGCTCTTTACATTGGCTTGGGTGGACCATGCTAAATACCGATCGGTTTTGGTTGCGATAGCAACCTGCGGCAAGGCGCTTGGATGTCTCAAGCGAGGCCATGCTTTGCCACCTTTTTCCCCCGTGGTTTTCCTTTTGACCTACCACTGAACAGGGGTATTTTGATCGTGGTACATTCTGGGGGGCAGTAAAAAACAGGGTCCTCGAGTAGTGCCCTTTTACCCTTTTTTGGGGGGGAGGTTTCCCCTACTAAAATCGACTACAGAAGACAGGGTACCCTTATTCTAACAGAAGGGGTCGTCATGGGGGCTGAGTTTTTTCAGATTCCTGGGGCTGAGTTTTTCAGATTCCTGGGGTATTCTAACCTCTCTACTGGAGGACCTAGAACAATCCTCGCAAAATCCGCCCACTGAGGAGAAGTTGGAGTTCTGCGTCACGGAGAAGCGGAAGGCGGTGGTGTTCGCGCATCACCTGCGGGTTCTCGATCGCATCTGTCGTGGCTTGGCATCCGAAAACTGCGGTGGCATGGAACCCAACCAGGGCGTCCGAGTGCCAAAAGGAGATTCCCCTACCAAAAAGGAGGGTTTTCTGGGTTTTCGCGTTCATGTATGACTAGAGGGGAGTCCCTAATCAGGGGAGTACTCCCCCTGCAAACAGTCACAACTGGAGTCTTGCAGATGTGTCAAAACCAAATCCCCGAGCGAAACCGGATCCCTATGTCGGCAAGCCAAAAGTGTGCGGGCGTCGAACAAGGAACGACCGTGCAGGCTGAGCTGCGGCAAAATGCAGCTCCGCAATTACTTCACTTCGAACTAAATTGGCTTGGTTAAATTAGACTGCAACCACGCAGGCAGCAAAAGGTGAATCCGACTGCGCGGACGCCACAAGCATGCTGCCGGCTGTTGCGATAGCGTGGGCACTCCGATTCTTCGGGGGCCCAAGCACCAGGATAATACGTGGGCCGAGAGCAGCTGGAAGTCTTGCCACCACTGGCCCGGCACAGTTCAAAGGTTGCATCCCAAAAAAAGGTCCAAGCGCTCAATCTTCCTGATAAGGTCTTGTGGCTTCGGCACTAGCGTCGAGCTGTGTCCAACAGCTTCAGCAGCAGCACACTTTTTCCTGCCGAGCGTGCTCTCTAGAGTTGCGCGCCCCTGGCACCTGAACCTTTGTCAGACAAACAGCCAAACGTGCCACATCTTTGAGCACCCACTGCTTCGCTCTTCACGAAATACTGCAGCCGACCGGTACGGCGAGCAAACCGTAAGCTCCCGGCAAAAGGCGCGTAGCTGGTCACACTTGCTTGAAGTGTTAGCAAACCTGGTTCTCTAAAATGTCTAAGAACTCCAAACATAGGTGTCCTTTTTGGTTGGTTTGCCTTAAAAATAGAGGGCCCTGGTTTAGATGGGGTTTATTCCATTTACCAGGGCCATCTATTTTTCCAAAAGGCCACCTATGACTCCAAACCTGTCGGATGAAGAACATCTACTGGCTCAATCCCATATGTCAGGAAGCGACGCACGTGCAAATCGAGCGTTTGCAGTGTGGCACACCCATATTTACCTGAGGAACGTGCTGCTTTGGAGGTAAGTTTGAAGGGACACCTAAGCCAGCTGCAAAAAAGAACAACAACGTATCCTGGCTCCCATAGCTGGTTGCTTTGAAACTTAAAACGTGCCATTTGGAGGGTTCTGTACTTTTGGAACATTGCAAAACCAACTGGGCATGTTGTGGCGCTTACTTGCAGCATGCTGTTGTTGCGAACTGCCTATTTGCATTGATTCCTGGGCAGTCAATGGAGCCGCTTACGGGCTGATGTCACACACCCTTCAGAACTTGAGGGTGGAATTCTGCCCTGGGCTATGGGTCAAACATTCGGGCCACTTCAAAGGAGACCATAGGTGTCCTTGTTAGGTGAGCCTGGTTAACAGTAGATGGCTCTGGTTTAGATGGGTTTTGTCCCATTTACCACGGCCATCTATTTGTCCAAAGGCCACCTATAAAGGAGACGCTTTCTTCTGGGTGTCCTGCAAACCCAAAAGAAGGGCCCCCAGTTTTCAGAGAGACCCGTTCCGACACCTCCGGCACACACACACACACACACGCACGCAAGATCGCTGAAGGGCTTGGGCCGAGCCGACGTGAGCAGAGTTTGCCTTCCCGCCAACTGTCCCAGAAAGTCCCTTGATACCTCTGAGGATGGCTTTAGAAACATCAAAAAGGGTCGTTCAGTACGTCCGTAGAAGGTACTTGGACCCTCTAGGTGAGGCGGCGTCGCTTGTGACCTGCGTTTTTCTCGCTTGACCTGCGTTTGTTTTCGCTTATCACCTGCTTTTCCTTCACGCCACTGACGCACGTGCCCACGCACGTGCTCACACATGCATCCATTCGCCCACGCGCACGCGCCCACGGACCTTGGTGCCCACTCACGTACCCACCCGCAGACCCATGCACCTACCGACGCACCCACACCCGCGTCCCAGGTACCATGTTCTCCACGTACCTTGTGTTGCGTAGGCTTTTCAGGGCTGCTGCAAATGTGGACCTGCGCATGCCACCTTGCAAAAGGGACCAGTAGTTTCAGGGGCTACACAAATGCATGAGACGCTCGCAGAGCTTGACGTTTGGGAAGCGAATTAAAAAATATGGTTAAAGAGCAGGCTGGGCTGAAGCATTGAGCGGGTGTGCTTATCATGCCCCCCCCCCCATCCCTGCAGTTGAGCGTGCTTACCATTCGCCCCCCCCTACCCCACCCCCCCTCCCCCCGTTTTGAGACGACTGGGCTGAAGCAGTTAGTCGGGTGTGCTTCTCATGCCCCACTGGGCTGAAGCAGTTGAGCGGGCGTGCTTATCATGCCTCCCCCCCACCCCCCCGTTAAAGAGAAGATTGGGCTGAAGCAGTTGAGCGGGTGTGCCTATCATGCCCCACTGTGCTGAAGCAGTTGAGAGGGTGTGCTTATCATGCCCCCCCCCCCCCGGTTAAGGAGAAGATTGGGCTGAAGCAGTTCAGCGGGTGTGCTTATCATGCCACCACCTTCCTGGTCGTGAGCAGGTCGCAAGTGAGAACGTGGGCAGGTCGCAAGTGATTTGTGCAGGTCGCAAGTGATGGAGGAGGTCGCAAGTGATTTGCAGGTTGCAAGTGAGAACATGGGCAGGTCGCAAGTGACGGGGCGCCCTCTGTGTGTCGCATTTTTTGTTAAACAGGGATAAACAAGGAGGGACAACAGAAGTCAGTGGGGATAACTTCGCGCGACAAGCAGGGTCGGGTGAGCGGCTCGTTGGATGGGTCTTGGTCTGACCGCGACATGCAGCAGCTATCTGTTGTGAGAGTCCACGAACATAGTACATGTTCAGCTTCGCAGGTGGCTTTTGTGGGGTACCCCTCCTAAACTGGTGGTTTTCCTCTTGGTTTCCCTTTCAGCCAATCCCAAAAACAGTGGCCTCAAAAAATGGGTACCCTCAAAACTAGTCACTTTTCTTTTGGTTTCCCTTTAAACTTTAAACCAATCCCAAAAACAGTGGCCTCAACAAAAAGGAGAGACCCATCTTTGGATCGTTTCAAAGTCCGAGGTATGGCCTCGGGTCTGGAGCTGGTGCGCATCGACGGGTCCACTCCCCCCATCACCCGCCAGGGCCTCATCGCCAAGTTCATGGCCCAGGCGCTTCGGTCGCTTCGGTCTCTTCGGTTTCTTCGATCGCTTCGGTCGCTTCGGTCGCGTCGGGGGCCCATGCGCTTCAGTCGAACTTCGGTTGAACTTCAGTCGAACTTCGGGCGGGGGCTTGGGCTCTTCGACTGAAGCCGGCCATTTTGGCTGGGATTGGGTGGGTGGGGTTCTTGGCTGCCAGCGAATTGTCCAGTTCAACTTGGCCTCATTTGGTTGTTTTTTGCTGGGTTTAGTGGTTAAGTTTCCATGTAACCCACAAGTTGAACTCTTAGCAGAGGCTTGATGATGAGAGGAAACATGAAGATGATCAAGCAGGGTTTGCCTCAACATGTTCCTCTCAAAAGTCATTCTGGCTGTTGGCCTGAGTGCAGTGGCTTCTTGGGAAGTTTGTCCACAAGGTTTCACAGAGCACCTAATCTTCAGTTGGGTGTGATTTTGGTGATTAGGCAACCAATGGCCAACTGAAGCCTCATACGCACCCCAGATCAGTTAGCCGGGCCCTGGAGTAGTCGTCAAAGCGCATATTGAACGTTTCGATTGAAAGGGCTTTCGTCGCAAATCAGAATGGGGTGCTGTTGAATCCCGGCCGATGTTTTAGGCATCTTTTGGTGAATTCTAAGGCGTCAACTGACAATCTACCCACAAGCAACAGGGTCAACTTGTCATGTCTTCCTGGCAAGCAACGAATACTATTCATGGCTCATAGTGCATCAAGAGGGACAGCATCCAAAGGGCAGGGACCATGAGTTTGCGCGCCTGCGCTCATGTTGTCACTTGTTTCCTCGCCTTGCTGTGATGACAAACATGTTTCTCTTTCGTACCGGGCTGAAAAACCGGAACTGTTTTGGAAGACAGCAGTAAAAAAACAAATGGGCAGCATCTCATTGGATAAAAGTTTGCTGCGAGACGGTTGGTGATGACCTGAATTCACCCTGTGTATAATCATGCATCAGATGTGGTCTCAGAAGCCGAAGCTGTGCTTACACTTCATGTGCCATTTGAACTTGCGTCAAGCATGCGGATGCATGTCTGCCAACATGTTCTCAGCACTTTTATAGACTGAGTTTACCAATGTTGCATCACGTGTGCCTTCTGATTGGAGGCGGTTCTTTGTTGGACTGACTCAAGTATCCAATCAGTGCTTGACCAATGATTCTCAGAGTTGGCCACTGATCACTGATGATCGCCCGAAGTTTCTCAGTCGATCCATACTTCTGGATTGATCAACCTAGTTTCCAGCAAGCTTGCCTTAGGGTGCCTTAGCATGCCTTAGCCTCACACATCAAACGCCTGGGGCTCGTAATTGAACACGGTTTGATCCGGACATATGCGCCTAACTGGGGTCATTTTTCAGTGGGTGTACTCCCAGGGTGTAAGTCTCAAAACCCTTGGCGCGCCAAGGCGGGAGTCTTTCGGGTTTGGGCGGTGTCATTCTTTGCAGGATGGGCCTTCCCTGGCGGTCATTGGAGTCACAGCCTGCGCCCGGCCCTTGGAGAACACCGGGCAGAGCCCGGGGGTTTTTCAGGGTGTCCGAGCCATGTCCCTTTCAAGGGGTTGCCTCCAGAAGTGGCCATCGGTTATATAAATGGGCACCACCTTACATTGCTCAACTTTTGATTTGGGGAAATCCAGGATCCCGGTTTTTGAGACTTGTTGACAGGTGCTGTGAGGTGCTGTGAGGTGCTGTGAGGTGCTGTGAGGTGCTGTGAGGTGCTGTGAGGCGTTGTCCATTGACGGCTTAGCATGAGACTGGCTCCGCAAGAACGGTGTCTGCAAGTTTCATGGATCGGCCCCTTTGATCAGAGCCTTGGTGCCGCTCTGTCCATACTTTCAGCAAGAATCCACAATCCTTTGGTCATGCTTGTTTGGTGCAGCGTGATTTTGCCAGAAGAAAGAACACATGAAATAAATATATATATATATATTTCCTGCACAATGGCGTCCCATGTTCATGCTGGGACACGTCCTTGACTAGGGCTGCCAGCACCACTTCAGGACTCCACAATAGGAAGTTTCATCACTCATCCCTAGTTGTTCTTCGTATGGGCTTTGCCCCTGGAGATCGAATTGTATAGCCAATACATAGTACTGAAATACATAGAAAATATGATAACAATCATACAGGAAATTGTTTTTTTTTGCCTGATGAGGAGAAACACATGAGAGGTAAATAGTCCTGTCCTAGTTTGGGCCTTGTCCTAGTTGAGAGATGCTTGATTCTCGTCCTATTTTGGTCCTGGCCCTAGTTGAGAGATCTTTGGTTCTAGTCCTAGTTGGGTGGTGTCCTCAACAAGCATCAGGTCCTGCCCATATGCAGATCCTAGACCTAGTTTGGTCCTAGTCCTAGTTGAAGGATCGTTGGTTCTAGTCCTAGACCGGCAAATTCTGAACCGGAGGGAATGGGCAGCACATGTATATATATATATATATTTATTCGTATACACATAACGATCACACGTATATTATGTACACCCCCTGCTGTGGAGGAAATCCTGCACCACCGTTCAGAAACCCCGGTTTCTGATATTTTTTCCCCTGTAAATACCCATAAAGGTTTCAACCATGGTTTCATTTCGTGGTGCGACATGGATTTGGTCCACAGCTCTCAGGAAAGGATCGGTTCCTCGGGAGGCCGTGGGCGTGGATCTCTCGGCGGCCTCCCTGGCCATTTTCGCCGAGCTGCCGCCGGATGCCTCCTGGCTCTGCCAGGCGCAAAAATCCGCGCGCCGAGTCGGAGGGGCAGTGGCGGTGCTGGTGGGTTTCGGTTGTTGCGGCGATGTTCGTTCGTAGGTCGTAGGTAGTTGCTGTGAGTTCTGTTTATTGTCAAACATCAAACGGTGAGCTTTTGCGCTCTGCGGTTTCGGTGGTTTCGGTGATGTTCGTTTGTAGGTAGTTGCTGTGGTCGCTTTCACGCTTTGGGTTCTCGAGTTCCGTTTCTTTTGTTTTGGAATCAAGACAAGGTGATCTTTTTGCGGTTTCGGTTGTTTCGGCGATGGCTTGGTTTTGGGGGTTCCGGAATTCTTGGGCGATGTTTTGAAGAAGGATTTGGTTGTTGGTGTTTTTCAGGCTTCAGGTTTTCGGGATTTGGGGGTTCGGTGAAGTGCACCCATGAGAAGAGCATTGCACATTCAGACGTCGGGTGTGCGCTATGGGGCTTTGGGGTGCATGAATTTCTTCGGCCAATGATATTCGCAAACAAAGGGCAGGGTGACCTTGTCTTGTGGCCAATTGGACTGACGGAGGTCTTCTTCTAAAGTGGCAAGAGGCGGCCCAGATATTTGAGGAAGTCATGAGCTCAACTGGACTGAAGCCTTTGAAGTGACTCTGTGCTGCTGACGAGCCAAGTGCCTATTGGACTTTTTGTTGCAGAGGCCTTTGCGCGGCCACGACCTTTGCTGCATAGACCATAGGCACATGCGAATTTGGAAGATCCAACCTTTGCGGCTGCTGATGGTGCTTTCCCACACGAAGAGCATAGACTTTGAACCGCGGTAGGTTCAAGCACCAGCGTGTGCACAACATTTGAATGTTGTTTTGTTTGACATCTCCTGGTTTGTGCTAGCATAACGTGTTTGTGTTTGCCCAGAGGCCTGCGTTTCAATCCTGAGCGCGCTTGCCAAACACCAAACCACACAGGTCATCTTGGTGGCTCCCAGCCATCCCCCTAGCTTTTTAGTTTTTTAGCTGGTTTAGTGTCGGGTTCCATGTAACGCACTAAAGAGTCCCTTTTAGCAGGGGAGCTGAAAACGGACAGCCCAGTTGTATCAGGCCGCACGAGGCTTTTGATGCTGCGCTCCTTGTCGCTTTAGGCAAGTCAAAGACGTCGGCCAGGCGGAGGATCGACTGCACCGGCAAGGTCAGCAGCAGGCATGGAGCGAGTAGTTGTTGCATGCATAGGTGTCCTTTTTGGTAGGTTTGCTTAGAAAATAGAGGGCCCTGGTTTAGATGGGGTTTATTCCACTTACCAGGGCCATCGATTTTTCCAAAAGGCCACCTATGGTTGCATACCTGAAATCAAAAAGAACGGCCAGCTCGGGTGTCGCCTCGGTGACTTCTTGAAGCGGCTGGTGTATGGGCTCGTTGGTTGACGTCGTCTATAGCTGGGGCTCCTAAACCCTAAATCCGGGTTTTGGGTTTTTGGGGTTTCGGGTTTAGGCGTGCAAGAGGTTCATGTACCACTTGGCCCACCTCAGGCATGGGCTGACTGTGACTTCCTGAAGCCAGCCGAGAGGATTCAACACGCTGGCTTTTTACGGGGACTCCATCGGAACCAGCTTTAAGGAGTCATGACTAAGTTTGGGCCGCCTTGTGCACGTTTGTCCTTGCCACTTCTATCACACCAGACTGGCACACTGCGAAGACTTTTTCAACACATGACATGTGGAGAATGTGGCCGGTTGAGCAATCATATCGACTCGGTTGCGATCCTGTCTATTGGCAACGGCTCCAATCTGTTGCGTGGGATTTGCTCCCAGCAGTTCATATTGCGATTCAATCGTAGGCTCTGTGGAAAGTTGTAAGCTTTCACCGTCAAAGCAGATGCACGCAGGGCAGTGTGACGGATGATCTCGCATGTCCAAAACAGTCGGCCTCAATGTGTTTGTTAGCATCTTTTAGCCAACCATGGGGGTATTTCTGCCAAAATGAAATAAAACCAAAACCCGATAACCTTTGACTTTGAAGCATGCACACATGCAATCATGCAATGTTAGTTTTGGGCTGGCCACCAATCAAGCTGTAAAAGGAGTCGTGTCCTACGTCACAACTTAATTGGCATTTCCCAACGTGCCGCCGTTTCTGCCTGGCCTCTTCTCGTTTTCATGACCTTCAATCAAGCATAGCAAGTTCTTGCTGCGCTTTCAACATGTTGGTTTGTTTCCCTCGGAAGTTTGCCGGCAACTTGTTGGTTGAACTTGCTGATTGATTTGTTGAACTTGTTGATCGCCGGTGGCCATGTTCACTCGGCTTGATGCCTCTTCGACGCTTCGATTCGTTAAATCCCACTCCTGTCCGAGGCGGTGGACGTGCTTCTGCTGCTGGCAGCGCCATCCCCCCGGCGCGACTTGGCGACGTTGGAGGGGCTTTCTTCGTAAAGCAAGTGAAGGTACTTAAAGGGCCCATCGGGTACCCAGTAAGTGGTTAGTATGCCTGGTTAAACTCCACTTAGGAGACTTAGAACCATGGTAAGTGGGTTATAACCATGGATATTACCCACTTTTTGAGTACCCTGCCCTTTTAAGTATTGGATGCCTGAGGAAACTGCCAAACATACCATAGCCTTCATCTTCCTTACCGACGTTACATGCCCTCCAGTGCCTTCCAGGCTCTGTTTGAGCGCCTGAACCACAGGACGCGGATGAATCGGGAGAACCATCACAAGGTCGAAGGTGCTGTCGCTCTTTGAATTTGAAGCTTTAGCGTTCAGTTTCTCTTTGCCGAACTTCCTACATTTACTTGTTCAGAATCCTTCCGTTTGTCTTTGAATCAGTGGTTTTGAAATCACCACTATGTTGTTTGGGTCAGCTGATATTAATTCTGGTTTATTGCCCACAACAAGTGGAATCACGTGGTTTGACAGGTGGTAAGCGCAGTGAATGCAAGTGGCGTTTTGGGGAACCACAGAGAAGCATGATCTGTGTGTGTGAAAAGGATAGCAACCTGTACGCTTCTTGACTGGTGTAAGTGAGACATGAGCCCCCAGTATGAGGGGCTCTTGCTTAACTCCTGCTCCTTCCCCCCGAAAAAGGTCTACGAAAATCAGATCTTCGGGCTTTCCCACCAACAAAAAGCACTGGCTGACTGCCGCTCCACTGCCTCCTTCCCCATGACCTGCTGGTGTGATAGATAGGCAAGGAATGAGAAATGGAATGTCTCTTGTGAACCATCCCACAAGTGGCTTCCTTTCATGAAATCATGACAAAAGGGCTTGGGTGCAAAAAACCCAGGGCCCAGGACGTACCCTTCTGTTTCCTTGAACCTCCATTTGCTCAAGAATGTGTTATTTTCCCTTGCCGGTTTTAAAGGGAATCTATCACTACTGGATTTTGTTGTTCCTGAGGCCACCAAATGGAAGTTCCGGGATTTCCCCAGGTTCATTCTACCCGCGACAGGCAAGGGCCCCTGGTCCGGCGCGGAGGTGGCCCGGGCGGTGCGCGCGGAGGAGCAGCGCTGGGCGGCGCTGCGGCGCCGCCTCCGGGAGGTCAGCACGCTGCACGACCAGCCCGCGCCCCAGGCGCGCCGTTTTGGGCGGCGGGGGGCGGCGAAGCGAAGGACAATGGGGGATATGAGAGGTGTTTGTTGCGGGGGCTGTTTCTTTGTGCTCTTCTTCTTTTTTCTTTTTTTGGGGGGGAGAGGGGGTTGGCCTGTGGATTTTTGGCCCAGTGTGTGTGTGTGTGTGTGTGTGTGTGTGTGTGTTTGTTTTTGATTGGCCCAGTGTGCTTTTTGTTGGCCCAGTGTGGTTTTTGACCATAGAGATCAGGAACTCAAAGTCGCGCCTTTCTTTACTCATGGCTGGTGGGGGGGGAACAACTTCCCAATTTGACCTTCAGATGAGTCCTGTTGCCTTGTCTCGGCGGCTGGTAACGTGTAACTGATCCCTATCGCTTTCAGCTTGTAGGCGACCAGTTTAAGGTGGGACGCGCGACGCGCAGCCCTGTGCGCCTTTCACAAGGCATACTCAACGGCGGCAAAACCGACCCTGCTTTGAGTGCACAACAGCAAAGTCCATGATGCACAGCGCAGCTTCAGCCGCTTTAACCATCGTCTTCGCCCAGTTTTCTTTGTCTTGGCGCTCCGGGGGAAATGATCGCCCTATGTATATATATATATATATGTATATATATATATATATGCGCACAAAGCGGGACTTGACAAGCATTTGGCAACGGCTTTTCACCAAATGCCGACTTCAATTCCCGATCGAAGCCATTCCCAACCACGAGGGGAACAAAGAAATGGTGACCCGAGCGTTGTTTTGCACAAGTGTCAAGCTGCGGAATACGCGCTAGTTAGCCTTACTTGCTAGAAGGCCTTGGGCAGGAAAGCTGGGGGTGTCTCTTTTGCAAGAGGCCCTGACAATGGGTGGTGTTCCTTTTGGTTTCCAGAACCACGCACGCTGCAGGCCGGCCTCGCCGAGACGGGTCCTCCCACGGCTCCGCCGAGTCAGCCTGTACAAAGCGATCCATCCGACGCATCCACAGCCTTTGCCTTTGAGGTGTCCCCGTACACACAGCGGGTACATGTCTTCCTGGAGGCACCGGGCACGAGCTTTGGAAAGCTGGGGGAAGGTTCTTGACATACCAAGACACACACACAGACACACACGTGCCACATTTGAGTCGAAGGGCTGACGTTTGAAAGAGAGGAGTTCCTGTTCCGACCACACCACAGCAGCTGACACTTGCTTCTCGAAATGATTAGCACATTGACTTGCGCGCCTTTTCCTTCTTTTAGCTTCAAGACTTTGAATTTTAGGATTTTGTGTGGCAGCTCCCAAGGGGAGTGGACAAGCCTTTCAATCGTCGATGTTCATTTGTCGCAGCTTCTCGTTTTGAGGTGGTTTGGACCTATGGGAGTCTCGACCTTGGGGGCAGCTAGCCTTCTTTCCAACACTTGGATTCTTCGTCTGAGATCAAAGAGCTATGCCTCCCCGGAGAAATCGGGCTGGCTCACGTTACGCTGCATTCACGCTGTGCGAATTCACGCTGTGGTTCCACGGACATGAGCGAGAGAGAGAGAGAGAGTTCTTTTCACGGTTTGCAATCCCTAAAGAGCCCACGACCCTAAATATATACGGGCCCAGCCTCAAGACCCTCCTCAATTTGGGCTCCTAGGGCAAGTACCAACTGTGCACTAACTACCTGCCGCAGGGGTTTGTAGCAAGGAGCTGCAGCTGACACACCCACCCCCACCGGTGGCAACCTCTGGCCACCGGTCGCTTGTCGCCTTCGGCGCCTTCAGGGCCGGGCGCTGGGCAGCGGGCGCGGCGGCTGGGCGCGCAAGGCGGCGGAGCTGGGGCTGTCGCCGGCGCAGGGGCAGGCGCTGGAGGCGCAGGCGGCGGAGTTCCAGCGCAAGTGGCAGGAGGGCGGGCGGGTCTGGGGGAAGAGGTGGGCACGTGGGGTGGTAGGATGGGGTGGGAAGAGGGGGAGTTGAGGGAGGGTAATGTCGGAAAAAGGGTTGGGGCTAGGGAGGCGGAGCTGATAGGCGTTGGGTGTGGTAGTTTCTAGTTGTTTCACATAGAAGCGCGCGTCTGCTCAATGGGCAATGGTCTAAAAATAGAAAGTTTACTTTCAGGCCGCGACAGGCGAACAAAAACAGAATCCAATGGTCAGAGGGTCAGGCTTTCACTTCTGACACGGCTAGCTCGTCGCGAGCAACACCCGGCCCTTGCGAGATGTTTGGTTTGGAGCTATACTATAGTCTCACACCAGACGGCATGGAAAACTCCTGTTGTCAGCAGCTTAAGCCGAGCAGGCGCAGAAAACGTGCCCAGTTCATCATCTCAGGGCAGGACGTTCTCGCCCAGATTACGACGCGGACCATGTATGACTTTTCCCTGTGCCATGACCCCACATGGCCAGGTCTTTTGATCATTGCCAGCAACATTCCTTGCACTGAAACTATGAAGTCTTCTAGAGCAAACCTAACAAGCAAGATACCTGCACTTTCTCGCCATGTTCTCCCCATTTGGCAGAGTTCATTATGATCGTTGCAGTCGCCCCAGTTTGTCTTTCCGGGGGATACTCAACTGCTTTAGGATTTGGACAGCTGTAACTGCATCTCCTGTACCCGCACCAGAAGCAATGACCCTGGCAACTGTGCTTCTGAGTTCTCCCTTTAACACCTGCTGAGAGACTACTTATTTCGGACAACTTGAGGTTGTCGTCCAGAATGAAAGAGCAGCTAGGTCGTCCTGGAGCAGGGTTGTTTGTTTGTCCCAAACTCGAGAGCCACCGACCCCATGCCGGTACTCCTTCATGTTATTGGAATCTGCCTGCTGTGACAATGGTTGAAGCCCTACAGATGTTGTGCAGCGGCATGCGTGCATCCGTGGATTTTGTATGCACAGCGGGAAGATGAGGGGATAATATCGCTTTACCTTCAACATGCATGCCATTTGCAGGGAGGTCATTGGTTCAAACCAACCAATCCCTTTGCCATCCAAACACGAGCACATGGAAGTGCTCGTCGACATCGGAAGCGTTTGTAGCGCCAGGTAATCCCTACCTAGACGTATGAAAGCGAGCTCATGTTCAAACCATTTCAGGTGACTCAGCAGGTGACTCACTCAGCCACATGGTTGGGTTTTCTACCTGTGCTGAGTCTCAAGACACTCTTCCGGACCTGACATATCCGACCCGACTTTACTCGGCAGGAGCTGAGCCCCTACCAGCAGAGGCCGCTTCGGGATTGCCGCAAGAGACTGGAGGTTGGCTCACAGACAAATCCAAACAAATTATTCCCAAATCAATGTTCAAGTTGAATCTAATTTTGCCCTTCAATCAGGGCTTTTTAGCAGACTGTGTGACAAGAGATCCACAAGCACAGGACGCTCCTGATTGTGTGTTTCTGCTGCATGCTGCTTGCTATTTGCTTGTTTGTAAGGAACTGACCACTCAAGTTGCAGACGCGCTGAGACCTGGTACCTGTCGTCTCTGCCGCGATGTGCGGGACGAAACATGGGCCCGCCTTCGTGGTGTTGGAGTGCCGGGTTTTCATGATGCTCCATGCTCGTGATTGAGGCCAAAGGAAGTGCGGCCATGTTCACAGCCCTTCACATTCCGGTTCAGTGCCATATCCCATATTTATATCTACCATACATTATATATATATATATATAAACATAGATAAGTATGCAATAATATATATATATATATACATATGTGTGTCAGTGCCAGCAAGCCATTTTGCGTAGTATGGACTCGTCAGGCTCTCCAGAGGCACCGCCCACCAGGAGGGCTCGTGGTTCGCGAGCGGAGCTTTCCGGACCAGCGAAGTTCGAGAAAGTGAGAGATGAATGGTTTGATGGTGGTCGTTGTTTGGTTTTTTTTGGGCGGGCTCTCTGATTTTATGGTGGACTGTTTGATTCATGACATGACGGTTGCAGATCTTGGAGTGAGGGATGTGCGATTCGAGTCGTACTTCGGAACATAGCCAGCATGTGAGCAGAAAGATGGAAAGGAGCGGTGATCCCACATCTCTTTGGGTCTGACATTTTTGATGGTGCGCTTTACGGGGGGGCATCAAAGGGAAACCAAAGGCAAAGCACCATAATCGAAGCTAACAAAAGTAAGTCCTCAGGGAAGGTCCCCCCAACTGGGAACTTCTCAAACTGGCGATCCCCCGGACGGTTGTCTAAAAGAAAACCAAAAGGAAACCAACCCATTTTTTGGGGGACGTCTATTTTGAGAACCCCCCAGCGCATTGGGAATGAACGATTTTGGGGATTCCCAAACAATGCAGAGAGATCCACCATGTCGCCTGGGCAAGCCATGGCATGTCTGTGGCATCCCCTTCCCCAGATTTAGCTCCCCTTCTTTCTTTCTTTCTTTCTTTCTTTCTTTCTTTCTTTCTTTCTTTCTTTCTTTCTTTCTTTCTTTTTTTTCCACTTTTTTGTTTTGTTTTTTTTTGTTTGTTTTTCACTAGCCAGGCAAAAAGGAACCCATTTTTTTTGCAAAGAGGTCAACTACTTCCATCGGATTCCCAGGCCTCCTTCGAGGCTCCCGCCTCCCCTGCGCTGCGGGGCTCCAAGCGGCGCTTCGCGGCCTATGCTGCAGATGAGGCGCCGGGTGTGGGTGGGGGGTGTGGGTGGGAGGTTCAGGGAGGGTCGGGGGGAGGTCAGGGGGGGTCAGGGGTCAGGGGTGGGGTTGAGGGGGTCAGGGGTGGGGTGGGTCAGGTCAGGGTTCAAGGGTTGGGGGGGGGGGGGGTCGGGGGTGGGGTGGGGTGGGGGGGCAGATCTCGGGCAGTGGCAATGCGGTGGAGATCAATCCAGTCAGAAAACGCCACTTGCGGTCCGAGATTGATGGAAGGGCCCCCGAGAAAAGAACATCCCGATTTGGTTTGCTTTATTTGGGAATCCCCAAAGTCGTTCATTCCAAATACGCTGGGGGGTTCTCAAAATAGACGTCCCCCCAAAAATGGGTTGGTCTCCTTTTGGTTTCCTTTTAAACACCAGGCGACCAGGCGGCTCGCAGTTTGAAAAGTTCCTATTGGGGGGGAAATTTCGAGATGTGGGGGGTCGTCATTTTGTTTGCAGTCTGACTGCAGCCGGCATGTTCCATGAAGGACCATGGCCGACCGTGATGGCCTTGGCTCAATCTCACCTGAAGCAGGGGCTTGGCACAGCCAGATATGTTCATGTTCACGAATGCCTGTAAGTAAGGGTTTATGTTGGTGCACATCAACGTGAATAGGGATTTTCGGGATTCGTTGGGCGGGTTCGTTTATAGGGTACCACAACGATGACCCAGCCCCTGCTAGGTTTGGTCCGGGTCAACACGGTGCACCCTTTACTTCTGGGTCCTGAATTGAGCCACAGAGCGTTATGCCGGGGGGAAAAAAACTGAACTGGGGAAGAGTAACGCCGGACCTGAATTGGGAGAAACCATCCCTAGCCCAAGACCTCATGATTTGAGGCCCTCAAGGCTTCAAGGCGCTCATATTTAGGGTCTTGGGCTCCTAGGGCATGGTCGCTTATTGGAAAGTGCCTACTACATGTCTCTTACCCGCTCGAATTTCCCATGGTCGCTTATTGGAAAGTGCCTATTAGCTCTGGGTGAATTACAACGACCTCACATGACCGAATTCACCCCAAATGGTGTATTATGTGGGGAATAGCCCCGCAACCACCTTAATTTCGGTTGTTGAAATATTCTAATTCACCCAGATTCGATCCGATCCCAAAATCCAAAATCAACTCGATCCAGGCCAAAGCTTTGCCTCGCTGCGAAGTGCGGGTGCGCTACACCTTCGGTCGCCTCAGTGGCCGAGCCTTGACCTTCCTGCCCCCGGTCGAGACGGGACGGCTGCTTTGTATGGAGTGTCTGAGGCGCGGCTTCTGTTTGTTTTTTTCTTTTTTAGCTGGTGCGATGGGTAGGAAATGAGGGAATGAACCTGGGGATTTCCTTGGTTTCCTTATCAGGGATGGTTTATAGGGTGCATTCCCTCATTCCCAGCTGAGCACCAGCAAGTTCTTCTTTGCGGAGTCCGTGTCCGCTTTGTTTGGCTTTCTGTGAGGGACGAGCAAACGAGAAGAGATTGATCGTAAAACTCTATGCACACTTCCATCTGTGATTTTCTCTGGACTTCAGATGTCACACCTTGAAGCCTTGAATTTTTGCCCGGAGTTGAGGGGATGCCACCTGAGCTTCTTGCTTCTCCTGAAAAAAAGCATCTAAGGAGTCAAACAAGCTGCACGAAGACGAGGAATAGGCCGCCCTCCTTGTCCATCACCTAAAAGCATTCACTACATGTGCTTGTCTATTGCCTGGTTGTAAAAAAAATGAGAAAGCACAAACAATTATGTTGATGTCCTTTGAAACGTACTCGTAGCTACAATTGACCCCCGCCGAGAGGACAGGCTAAATGTGTTTTGGGTGAGTGGGGAGAGGACAGTTGGGCACCAGAGAGGCCATGGACTGAGCCATTCAAGCTTGGGGACCTTCTCTGCCAAATCTGTCCAATGCCTCAATTTTTTGATACCAGTTTTTCATTGTTCGGAAGGCGTCCTTCCAAGTTTTTGTAGTCCTTACCCGAGAACAGCGATCCATGTTGCGAGCCCCAGAGTCAGCCAGTCAGCCTGAGGCGCTTGGAGGGCCTTCGGCCCAAAGAGCTGCTGGAGTTCCGCAGCCCCACGGGGGAGCGGGTCACCCACCGAGCCGACGGCGAAAACGCGGGCGAGTGCCAGGAGAGCGACCTCTTTTGCGGAGGCGGGGTGGGAGGTAACTCGAGGTCCGAGGGGTTTTGTATGACACCCTGGGATGACATTTTTGGGAAATGGCCCAGAATGGTTCAAAAGAACCACGGCTTCAACCGGAAATGTGCCAAAATGGGGGGAACTTGAGTGCTCACCCAGAGGGTTTTCTGGTACCTTCTAAGGACGTACTGAACGACCCCTTTTAACGCCCCCTTTTGAGCCATCCTCACAAGGTACCAGGGGACCCTCTGGCTCTGCTTGAACTTGCTGCGATCTCGGGGGATTCCCGAAAGGAAGCCATAAAGCATGGTTGATGGGGAATTTTGGGTGGTCATTGCCTCATGCCCTGAGAACCAGCAAGTTGTTTGGGAGGTGTAACCCGTATAGTCATTTATAACGCAGATGGGACCCAACTTGTGTATGGCATCACTCGTTGCTCTCGAGAGTGCGACTCGCCTTTCAAGAACCCACTGACAACCCTGGTCTGAAAAATAAAAGAGACGCGTGGAGCTTTGATATGCGGCCCCATAGATTACAGAGGGCCTCCAACCCCCCCTTCTTCAGTGCTTGGCTCGATTGTGTTCAGCGTGTGATGGGCAATGATGTCTGCCCTGATTCAGGCCTTTCGACAACTGTCAAATTTGTCAAGTACGAAAAGGGGCTGGTCTCACATGGGCAACCTGGATCCGCAGAAATTCACATGGACCACACAATTAGATGTAAAACCTTGATCCGCAGATTAACATACACAAGTTGTAGATCCCAAATTCTCGATTGTTCATGGCAATACCGTTTGCTCTCCATGGCAATACCCTTTGTTCCAATGGCCATACTCTTTGCCCCAAATTCTCGGGTCCCATGTCAATGGCCATACCCTTTGCCCCATTTGCCCAGAATCCCCGCGCGAGCCTCCGCCCGGAGGCGAATGTCGCGCGCGGTTCTTCGGGCAGCGCCAGGGCGCCTCGTTGCGGCGCCAGCTCTTTGAGTTAGAGCGGGGCGTCTGTCAGAAGCTGCGACGGAAAAGTCGACGAGCCCAGGGCTCCCAAAAAAAGATGGACCCATTTTGCCACCACTTGAATCATGTGGCGTTTTATTGCACCAACATGAGGGGAAACCACCATTGACAAGTTGCAATGTTCAGGTGTTTTTCATGTAAGGATCCCTGGAGTCGACAGCCCAAGACCCGATTGAGTCAACGGGAGAATGGCGGGGGTCTCTCAATTTCCCCTTTGGTCTTCAACAGTGGCCACCGTTTCCGTGGAAACCGCCAGGCCAATGGCTGGAGGGGAGTCCAGTGACCCCTGAACAAAGGAGTGTGCGACAGTATGACGGCAAGGTGTGGGTTCCACACAAGTTTTGCCATACTCCCGTGCAAATGTACGAACCCAAAAAGTGGGTTCCGCACAGGGACCATGATTACTCCTCCAAAAATGGATGCTTTGATGGTTTGGAGGCCCTGTTTGTTTCTGCTATCTGCCGGGGGTGTCTGGCTTGCAATAGGGAGCCCACAACATGGACGGTTTCCTCTTGGTTGCTTCCCATGGCTTCCGTGCTATAAAATGTCCCCCTTGGTAGTTTAGTACAGGATTGCTCAGGATCCCTCGTGGGTGACATGTCGACAGCGGCCACCGTAGCACCCGCGCGCGTGAGCACAATCATCTAAGAAAGGCGAGCTTGATTTTCATTTGACCAAGGACTTGGTTTCATTTAAGGCAAAAGTAGTGGGTTTCCTCTTCGTTCCCAGCAAACAGCCCCCCCCAAAAAAAAGAAAAGCAAGGGGCGGCGGTGCCACGAGCCGCGTCTCAGGAAGTGCGGCCTGGACTGCCACGAGCTCTGGCAGCGCCTGATACCGCTGGAGCCGGCGCAGCGGCTGAAGCGCCTGGAGGAGCGGACGGGGAGACCCTGGGAGAACCTCGGATGTCCGACTCTGGAACATCTTACCAAGGGGGACGACTTTCTGGAGCTGCACTTGAAGAGCCTGGTTTCTCTGTTGCCCAGTGGATTCTGTCCCTTTTTTCAACTTTCTGTGGGAAGGGTTCCGATTCCTTTAAACTCAGCCAACCAAACCCCAATAACCAACGGGCATCTGAGAGAAGGAAACCCCGATCCAAAATGGGGGATCAAGGGAAACCTGAAGGGCCATGAAAGTGCAACCTGACCTTTTTTGTGTTTTTGGAAAATGAACCTGGTACAAACCAGGACCCCCCCCCTTTTGCGTCATGTTCCATGTGAATTGTCGGAAGGGTTCCCTTGTTGGGGACGGGAACGCACCCAAGATGGGGAATTCTCACCGACTTTACTCCGATTTTGTGATGTAGAGATTGCTTCAATGTGTTGGGTGCCTTCGTATCGCGGCTCTGGAGGCTGAAGTTACCAAGCCTCAGGCTTGTGTTATTTGGTGATTGTTTTGCAGTTGCACGCCGTTCTAGCCCTTGGTTTGGTGAGAAATAGATGGGTTCCACTGGTTTAAATCGGCTTGTTTCATGTACCAGGGCACCCCCTCGATTTGTCCAAAAGGTCGGTACTTTTCTTTTGTGACCCACCCACCCACCGACTGTCGACCCCGGAGGAATCAACCCCAGTTTAGGGGGTGTTTTTGGGTGAACTGTGGGGATTCAGCCCACTTTGGGAGGGGCCGGGGTCCACCACTTGCCAAGCCTCAACCACTAAGAAACCGGGGTTGATGTTTTCCCGCCCCCCCCTTCACTCGACCCAGCCACCCCCCCACCAAGCCCTCCAGGAGCTGGCGCCCTCCCTGGCCACCTCCAGCTCCGGGCAGAAGCATGCTTCATCTTGGGACACATATTTGTTTCTTCTTTTTTTCTTCTTCTTTTTGTTTGTTTGTTTTCGCTTCTTGTGGTTTACTGGTTGAAATCCAAGCACTTAACTGCTAAAATTTAAGTTTAGTGGTTGACATCCAACCACTGAATTGCTAAAATTCGATTGATTTTTGCCAACCACTGATAACTGCTATTTTTTTGTTTAGATGTCTCCCCAAAGCCAACGTCCAGGAAGGTCACGGAGGGCTTCTTGTGGCAGGCGGACCACGTGGTGCCCGTGTGGCAGGGCGGGGGCCTCTGCGGTTTGGAGAACCTCCAGACGCTCTGCGGCGCCTGCCACTCGGCCAAGACCCGCGCCGAGGCGAAGGAGCGCCAGGAGCGATGGAGGGAGGGGATTTTTCGGGTGGGTCAGGGTGGGTCAACGAATTCAACTTGGGTTTTTAGATGTGTTTTAGCGGGGCCGGTTTAGTGGGTTTTAGTGGATTTTTTCTGGAGAGAAAAGCTGGGTCAAGGTGGGTTTAAATAGCGAAGCATTTGGAATTGGACTCAGTGGTGTTTTAGTGGGTTTAGCGAGTTTTTGTCTGAGAGCAAGGCTGGGCCAACGAATTCAACTTGGGTTTTTAGTGTTTTTTAGTGGGTTTAGTGGATTTTAGTGATTTTTTCTGAGAGGGAGGGGCAAGGGTGGGTCAACCAGTCGAAGCATCCGGAATTCGAAGTTGGGTTTTTTGGATGTGTGTTAGTGGGTTTAGTGGGGGTGTTTCGCATCCCTTGTTAGTGGTGGGGTTTCCTTTTTTTACCCACAAATTAGTAGCAGGGGATCTGAAAACGGACAGCCCAGAAAAGGGAAGGAGGGAGGGAGGGACAGAGCATGACTTGTTTTCACAGAGGCCAATTGGGGGAGCCTTCATGTTGGTCTGAGGGAGTGTAAATTAAAATGACTGGTCTAAGCATGGCTAGGAAGCAAGGGATAAATTGAAACGAGGGTTGATCAATATTCCGACAAGGTGTTCCGCAATGGTCATCCCATGCAAAGGACCTTGTGATCAATCCCAAATGACTGGTCTTGTTGAGTTCTTGAGGTTTGTGTTGGTTGAGAAAAGCGAATCTTTGTGTCAAGAAATACGGACAGATGTCTGAAATGCCTGTCACACACACACACACCTCCGTGCAGAGAAATCCTCGCAAACCAAGACCAACGCAGCAAACGTTGATGCAAGGCCAACTGCCCAGCATGCCAAGAACTGACTAGGTCCTTCAGTAGTGCCCTTGTACCCTGTTTGGGGGGGAGGGTACCCCTACTAACATAGACTACACAAAATAGGATACCCTCATTCTAACCTCTCTACTGGAGGACCCAGCTGAGTCACGGCTCCGAACCGTGCGAAGAGCTTGCAACTTGCGCCTGCTGGCCCAGGTTTACGATCGCGAGCGGTTTGCGCGACGTCGCCAGGAGCTGTCGCCCAAGAAGAAGTTTCAGACTCCTCCAAAGCGGGGAACTGCGAAAGTGAAGGGCCGGCGGAGCACAAAGGGCTCAATGGGCCCGAAGGGTTCCATGGGCCCAAAGGGCTCGAAGGCCGCAAAGGGCCCGCGGTTCAGTGCTTTGCGGCCTGTGTGGAGTCTCAAGGCTTGTAAGAGGACAATTGATTTGAATGAGGAAAGGAGGACGATTGATTTGAGCGAGGATGAAGCGGAACCCAAAAGTGCAGGATGCGGGGAGTAGCTTGTACACAAGGGACGGCTCGCGAAGACGTGCTTGTGTCAAGCATCCGACCAGTTTGTGTTCCGACAGACTTGAAGCATGTACAGGCATGATTGCTATTGTTGGCGGTCATTTCGGCTTGCAGCATGACCCCGGAATGATGAGAATTCTGGTCAAGGTTGCATCGCAAGACTTCCATGGATGACCCTCGCATATCGGACTCCATTTGCCTGGGGCAACATTCGGCCACATTCGGCGCCTGCAAGCAGCACTCTCCCTCGCTTTTGCTGATCCACGTCGCACCACCTCCAGCGTCTATACAGGTCCGAGCGGGCTCTTTCGCATTTGCTTAAAGGAGGAGTCATGATGCAGTCGTTTGTTTCCTTGTGTGTAAACCTCCGAATTCCAGAAGTAAGAAAGGATTGAATTCGGAGACGTGCGATTGCCCATACGGCTGTGGGTCAAAATCAAACCACAAGGGAAGCGCAGGTTTTTGTCTATGTTTCTTTTTACCAGGGTTCCATTTCGGGTACCTATTTTTGACCCACAGCCATGCGACACATTTAAATTTTGGTGCTAACGAGAGAGCTTCTGCCGCCAGCAGCAGTTGCGAGCCCAAGCCTCTTGGCCAGGAATCTCTGTGCTTTTTGTTGTTTTTTCTTTCGGCTCGGGTGCAATGCCAGGCAACATGTACGGCAAGGGCTACGGCGATTTCGGAAAGGGAGGCCAGAACCCGTTGGATTGAGTGACGTTTTTGTGGCTGTTGGAAGTTGGTATAGACTTTCAGAGCGATGGGAGGGCAACGGTTTCCATTCTTTTCCGGGTTGCAGCTGTTGCTACCTTCTCTGCGATTTCTTAGGTGAAGGATTTGTGGCAAGGGTCGGGAGCAACCTCTTGGATACCTGTGGCTATCGAGCACTGAGGCTGGAACAAGGGCGGCTTCTATGGCTACCCTCCCTGGGATGGCGGCAAGGCCTGGGCCGTGTACCAGTTAAGACATGTCCAAGTGTGACAAGAAACGGCCGAAAGGGCAAAAACCAAAACGGCCGCAACAGGCAAAAAGGCGCCTTTTGTTGTAAAACAGCTGAAAGTTCAGCCGATTTCGACTTTCTAGGTATAGCCAAAACAAAAAGGCCGCCCGCCAACCGCCACTTGACAGATTGAAAAAAGTGCACCGTCGTGCGCCGTTGGTCTACAGCGGCTTCGCCGCTGTTGAATGATTTGTCCAAGCGAAAGCAATCGAATGTTTGTGGCGGTTGTTTGAGTCTTAGCATTTCTTTCATTTTCTGTTTTTTCCCCTTTTGGTTTTACTGGGAATCTATCACTACTGGATATATATATATATATATGTTTTCAGGGGGCGAAAACGCAAATGGATGTTTTTTGTTTTTCACAGTTGTAAAGCTGACTCTTTGCTCCCCGCGTTTCGGTCCTTGTGAGATGGCTTGTTCTTGCAAACTCCTCATGACCGAGAAACCCAACGCTGGGCACGGGAGGGAGTGTTGCTAAATCCGCGAGGCTTGTTTATGATGGCAACTGTCAGGTGAGCCACAATCAAAGCACGGGGATTGATGAAGGTTAGTAAGGGACGATCCCAACCATAAATAGCTGCGGCCGCCTTTTTAATCCTGTACATGGCTTTGGGCAGACCATTTTAGTACCAGGTTTTGATTGCGACTCAGGTGTCCGGCTTATCGAGGGCCTTCCTAAACTTGAGGAGCGACAATCATTTCAGACAATTGATCACTATGCCATGACTAACCGAACCTTTCCTCGCTGGCGGAAACAAAGTACAGAAAAGAAAACGACAATCATGACATGCAAAAGGGTTTTGGACATGGCCTTTGGGGATGGAATATCCTCCTTTCTTCAGGCGCTTGGCCACCTTGAGAAAGTCCAGGGGAAGTCCATTCCCCTTCTTCCATTTCAGCGGGTTGTGTTTGCTTTCTTGGTGCTTCTTTCTTCGTGCCGTAGGCTGCTGCAATGCAGCCAACATGTTTCGCCCCATTCGGCGTTCTGAAAGAGTCTTGTCTTTGCAGGCTCCGACAGAGAGTCCCCGGGCCACGCCCCCATTTTTTTCTCCCCCGCATTGCGGGGGTTCAGGGCATGATGGGCTACGGCTACGGCATGATGATGCCTCCTATGCCTGGCCCTTAGGCTTTGACACCAGCCTGTTTGTTTGTGTGTGTGTTTTGAGGGCACTGGTGAAGAAGCTTGGAGATTTTAGCTATTCAGAACACTCGAGGAATCAATTGTTCCATAAAGGGAGCTTTGTTTCATCTGCTGGAAGGTGGTTTTTCTCCGGCCTTGTTGAACTGGTGTCTGACGCCTGTTTGACCAAGAAGGGACCAACTTCTTCAGGTTCTTGCCCGTAGGTGACTGATGAACGATGCCGGGTGTCCGCCAAGGCGCTTGTGATCCCCTAACATCAGAGCATCCTCAGCATTGCCGATCAATATTGCCAGTATCCCCTGAATATCTTAAGCATCACCGCCGCGCTTTGGCGCATCATCAGCATTGCCGGCCAACATCGCAGGTACTTAAGGGTACCCGGCGTTTTTGCAAATCCGAGCGCAGCGCGGGGATAAGGGGGGGTCAATGCCAGATCAAACCTAGTCTGGCCGCCTGCAGATTTGCTCTTGTCTCATTCCAAACGCTGGGGATCAGATGGGTCATGCGATATTATATATATAAATATATATATATATATATATATGTTTTTTTTTTTCTTTTTCTTTTTTTCGGATGCCTGATGCCCGTGATACTTCCAGTAATGTGGGTGGCCTCTAGGTGAATGTGTTTCCGGTATCCTGAGGTTCGCATTCAAAGGCAAGGGCAAAGGGAAGGGCAAGCGGAGCCCACAACTCAACGTGGCCGCGGCCTGAGTGAACTTGAGCTTCGAGCTGCCGCGGAGTTTGCCATGTTCAGTAAGTTTGAGTGCATGGACTGGGGTCATTCTTTGACGGTTTCTGGGGGTTATCAAAGTCAGAAAATGTGGTTGTTTCCCTGATGTCTGGTGATTCTCTTGGAGGTTTGGAGCCGAATCGGTGGTTTGGAAGTGACTTGAACCCCTGGTTCTTGTTGGATGGGAAACCTCTCCAAAGGGCAAACCACCAATCCCATTGGAGCCAAGCGCCCAAAGTCGTCTTTGTCCTTGGAGGCCTTGGCGCAACGCAGCGATCGATGTGTTTGGAGCGATGGCGACCTCAGGATCCTGCCAAGAAGCTGTGGATCGGCAACATTCCAGAAGACGCCAAGTGGAAGGATTTGCAAGCACTGGTGGACAAGGCAGGGATCCCGAATTGAGTTCCGGTTTGGGAAAACTTGCGAAGTTGAAGAGTTCATCCAACCGCGTGTTTTTCTTTTCTTTTCTTCGGGATGCCTTTGTGCTTACATGTGTGCTGTCCTTACATGACAGCAAGATACAGTGGGTGTGATTAAAACAAAAACAAAAACACACAATCACTTCCGACCTGCTTTTCAGCCACACCCCTCACTAAGCATCTCCCGACAACGACGCCTCCCTTGCACGTCAGACGTCAGACGTCAGGCGGGCAAGAGCCGCTGGGTGGAGATCTTCCGTGGCAAGGGCAAGGGCACTGGCGCGGTGGTGCCCGGGCGCCTGATGACCTGACCGGACAGGGAGGTTAGGCTAGGCATGGGTCAAAATTAAACATCAGGATATGGACCGCAGGTTTTAGTCAACTTGTCCGTTTACCAGGGTTCCATTTTGGGTACCTATTTTTGACCCACACCCATATGAAACATGGGTCAAAAACTGAAGCCACCAGGATATGGACCGCAGGTTTTGGTTCCATGTGTCCATGTACCAGCATATGGGGTACCAATTTTTTGACCCACATAGGTGGGGGTTGTATACTTGGTTGGGTTTTTGGACCAGGATCCCGATGGTAATTAGGTAGCGCCCCTTTCAGGATCCCAAGTTGCAGGAGATCTATGTTCAAGGGAGCTCTAGCTTGGATTGGGCGCGCAGGCTACCACGCCATTTTGTTCAACACAACACATGCTGTTGCCAAAGTTCTGCCTAGTTTAAGCCTTCTTGAGTTTTTAGAGGTGTTGGTCTTGACACAATTCGAGCTGATTTTTGCTTGGGTTGTGTGGGTGGATGGTAGCTCTGAGAGCTAAACTTTGCCGATTGCTGCAGGGTTCTAATTTGTGGTTGCTGTAGTCTGGTGCTGTAATCAACTATTGTCACGACTTCCCCAAGCATATTTCACAGAACAGTTTAGCACCTGCATATTTTGAATGTCTGTTGTCTGCAGGTTCAAGAAATCGCGTGCCGGATCTCCAAGAAGAAATTCGGCTTCTTTCACAGGACCTAGAGTTGAGAGCGTAATAGTGAGAATCCGTGCAAAACATTGAGCCCGGCCAAGATGCGGCAGTCCCAACACTGACATATCAACGTCGCAAACTTGTAGGCGGCAAATTCCAATGCCCGCCCTGGCGCCCTCAAGGGCTGGTCCCAACCATATGGCCTGAGCTCAGAATGGTGGGTTTTCCTGTTGGTTTCCCGTTAGAACCAGTACCCTCGAAAAAAGAAGAAGACACACCCATAGGTGCGGCCTATTTGTTTATTTCTGTACATGAGTGACAAGCAAAACTCGGGTAGATGGAGGTCAGTCAGGGACAACAATGCCGGCCATAAATGGGTGCGGCCGCCTTCTGAATTCTTTACATGGTTCTGGGGATCGACCATTTTACCGGGTTTTGATTACGACTCGCACGGCTGTGGGTCAAAACCCTGTACCCCTGATGAACATCCAAATAGGTGGTACATGGGTGTTCATCCGCCCCAAAATGGAGGCATAGGTTATGACCCTTGGCCACATGGCTTTGGGTATACCACAGCTCACAAGAGTCACGACGTCCCGCCCGCGCACGAGGTACAGCACCGCAGAGGAGGCACAGGCGCGCGGGGGGAAGGGGGGGGCAACCGCGGGCCAGCAGGTAGACCGGTGGTGAATTCACTGGCTTCTTGCCCCAAAGAGGTGCCGCCTTTGTTTTTTTTAGGGAAGGGAAGCCAAAAGGGAAGACTCACCCATTTTGAGAGGTCCTATTTTGAACACAATATAGCGCCCCAGACTTGCTGTGGTTGGTTGGATCGATGGCCGAAAACTGTGACGCCTTTGAAGTTGCCCTGGCTTGCCATGAGCATGTGCACGGCCGAAAACCACTGCGAGCTCACCCATGATACAAGGTCCCTTTCGGATTTGTAAACTACCCTCTGCACATATATGTGTGCTGTAGTTCAGAAGAAATGGATATGGGTCAAAATTCAACCAGAGGACCGCAGGTGTTAGTCCTTGGTTCTATTTGCGCGGATGACCCATTTTGGGATTACCCTATTTTTGACTAGTAGGTTACCAACAGACACAAAGCCCGGTCCCAGCTAATGCTTACATCCTGGGCCTTTGGGCGTTTGGCTCTGGTCTTAAGCCATGTGCAACACTCATGGGTTGGATATGTTCAAGGCCCCAGCCACTACAGGAAGAGCCACTTTTTTGTCGGAACCATGTAAATTTACCTCTTGGTGTTACAATGGTTTCTCCTGGGTACCTTCTATAGTGGAAGCTGGAAGCACTGTTTGTGGCACAAAACATTCCTAAGGCCGGGTCAACATCGTTTACGGGAAATAGATCTATAGGAAGCGCTGGGTGGGGCGCAAAAAAACACACATTCCTGAGGCTGGCTCAACATGGCTTACGGGCAGTAGACGTTTCTCCCGATGGGAAGGCAGACGTGCCAAGTCGCTCGCGCCTTTGCATTCCCTTCTTCAACGACTATGACCAGCATTGCCAACGATGCACTGCGCCCTCCTTTTTTTACATGGTGGGTCGGGTAGAACGAACACATGGACATATCGGTACAATGGCATTGAGCGAGTGGCACTTGCCCCTTGGTTCTGACATCTCTAATCAGTCAGCCAGCCTGATCCACTAGAACTTGCCTCAAGGAAAACAACTGGCGGGCTCCAAGTGCCACGCAAACTAGAACTTGGTGCTGAGTAGGGAACTACCTTCCGGGTGTTGGGCATGAACCGTTTCGGGATTCCCGAAGAAAGGAAACCAACTCAGGGATTGTTGTCTCAGGGTCATTCCACTTCTCATTCCCTGCCTCACGAACCAATTGGAAGAGAAGAGATTGATTGGCGTCTGGGATGTCCGTTCAGCAATCCGGAGTGGAAGCGTTGATTTGTATCTTTTTCCAACTCAAAGCAGGTAACCCCTCCCACCTATGGCCAATCGACCTGGAGCCGAAGTTCACTTCAGCTGGCAGAATCTGGAAAGTCACAATAAAGGTGGCATGCGCTAAAGACATCAGCTAGGTGCTTGGAAGGGAGTCGCTAGGCTGGGAGCTCACAAGTTTGTAAGGACATGCTAGGGTCATATATATATATATATATATATGGACAAGAAGCTGGGAGCCGGGAGCTAGGGAAACTCTCCAAGCAAATTTGTGGTTCCTGACAGCTGGATCTGGCAGTGGCTCAAAATTAAAGAGCTGGGTTACGCAGGTTTTGGTCCATGTTTCCACTTTTCAGGGCAACCCATTTTGGGGTTCCCTGTTTTTGTTTGTTTGCCATACCGGAAAATCAGCATTTTGAGCCATACCCATCAGCATTTTCCGGAAAATCAGCCATTCCGTTTTTTTTGTTGAGCCATTTTGAGCCATACCCATCTCACAAATTGGCTCCTTGGAAAATCAGCGGCTGCCGGCATGGCCTTCATATCGCTTCGAGGCTGCCAAGGCCTCGCTGAACGGGGCGGACCTCTGCGGCTCCTCGATCGTGGTGGACTCCTGGGAGCGTGGCCGGGGACCCGAGGCTCCGTTTTTTTTTTTTTGTTGTCTCTGTTTTTTGTGTTTTTTTTGGTGTTTGTGTTTTTTCTCCGGCTCGGGGTCGATTGTGTGGTGTTGGTTTTTGAGTCTCAACATAGAGACAACCGCAGGAATGTCTTAGGAAATATGTGCTTTTGTTTTGAAGAGGTTTTTAAGTCATAGGGGAAAACCAAAGGAATATCTTGGACAGGAATATGTTAAGAATTATGTTGATTGGCCAACCCCCTGATTCCCCCAAAAGACCCACCACCAAAGGAAAGAAATCCAAGGGTTTTTCATTAGAAACAATGTGGATGTGTTTTTCTTTTGCAGGATGTTTTAGAGAAAGAGGTCCACGGATTTGTAAGGCACGAGCACGTCAAGCGTGCGCTCGTGGGAATGGTTTGGTTTTCGGGCCACGAACAGTGGGCCCGGTCCCGGGCAATTCGGCATCGGGAGGGACGGAGTTGGTTGGTTGATTTTGATCGGGGGTGTCCCCTTTTAGTGGGGATTCATCACTTTTGGGGGGAACACCCCCCCAATAATGGGACGGGTTTATTCATCCTGGGTCAACATTATGAGTTTTAAGTCAATGGGATGCCCATGCCATGGTCACCTGATGTGTGGTCCATGAGTGGGCATCAACCCAATGAGGATAGTTCGACCATGCTACAGGTCCATTTTTTCAGAAGCCATGACCATGCCACGCATACTGTGGAGTCGTTCACAGTAGCGCATGTAGCGTGCTGGCTTTCAACCGCAGACATATCCAGTTGTAGCGCCGGGCTCTTTCACTGAGGTTCCGTTCCAGTAGGATGAAGCCTGAGGTGCCTGCTCTACTGGGTTGGATCTTTAGACTTTAACCTTTTGGATTCCCCTCATATTTCCTTTGGACCTGCAAAAAGTTTAACTTGTTGCTGTGGGATCTGCAGCACCCAAGCCTGTGTAGGCAAATAAGCTGAATCTTGAGTGCATGAAAATCGTGCCCGTCCGTGCACATTCCTGGGCCTAGTCAAGCCACTCAGTCGAAGCAGCATCCACTTGTTGGCTACAGTAGGAGGTGTTTGCCAGGGGCTTCGAGTTAGAGAGGAACTCAGGAAAAGCTTCTGATTTGTATTGACAAGAATCACCAAAGCTTCCGGTTTGTATTGACAAGAGTCGGTGGCCCTAAGCGATACAGAGCAAGAAGTTTGTCTGTGCTTTGCTCAAACGATTCCGAAGACAATTGCAAAAATTCAGGCGCCCACTTGAACGAAACTCGTTGCATGTTCGTATAGCAGACCGACCCAACTGGGACCACTTTTGTAGCTAGCGATGGCCCTGAACACATGGGTTTTCCAACCCTGGATCGTCGGCAAGCTGGTTACGTATTCAGCTGGTCCATGTCTCCATGTCGCTGAGAAAGGAAGCTGAGAGACAGTTTTAGTGTTTTCGCTAAAACACCACCGCAATTTCCTCACAAGACCGGGCTGCCGGCACCCAGCCATGGGTGGCACCATTTGGGGCACACACCCTGAAGATGCAAGTACTGTCAATGACATTCAATGACTAACTAGTGAACTGCCACATGTTGATGACCAGCTTCCCCCACTTGTGCCCTTTCAGTTTAGAAGCTAAGTTGCTATTTGGCCTTAAGCATGTGAGCAATACAGTTTTAGACGGTACCATCCTTTCCGTGCCTTCACTGTGTTTGGCATGTTGTTTGTTTCTGTTTTAGTTCGTGTCTGTTGGGTTCTTTCTACTCTTTTAGTCTGCAAAAAGAAAACAACTGTTCATGTCTCGTAGGCTGCAAAAAAAAAACCGTCAGTTTAGTTTGTTTTGGCCAAGCCCATACCGGGGGTTGTCTGGGCGGCTGCTCAGGAGCCAAGGCTTAGAGCTCTAGGACGGGGATGCCGGGATGCCCAAGCTACTGATGTACATATGTATATATATATATATGTATATGCTCATATATATATATATATACACGTATATATACGTATATATTCATGGATATGTACATATATATATATAATTATATGTACATATATAGATATTCACACATGTATATATATATATATATAGAGAGAGAGAGATATGTGAATATACATATATGGTCCAGTATCTCTGGTTCCCGGGTCCCCCCCCCCGGGAAGGGGGAAGGGTTCAAAGGTTGTGGTAAAAGTCATGTCCTGGGCCCGCCTCCCGACCCTAGGGAAAGTTGTGTTGGGGAAAAAAAATAGGGGGAACTGCCCTGGAGTCTGGCAGGTTTCTCGCTAGCGTCAATTATGCCCCGAGCATATACGTCTTAGCAGGCATAGTTTAAGACGATATGAATGTTAGTTGCTGGTTCCAGGGATCTCCTCATGTACTGCATCTGCAGTTGCCACGTTTCTTTCCAGCATCCATGGCTGGTGAGCTGTGCTGGCGCTGGTGGTACTGGTTGGTGTTGGATCGAATCTCAAATTCAGAGATCTCCCTTGGCCTGACTGTCTCAGCTTGCTCAGCTGCCTTAGATGTTTTTCATGACCCCAGGTCTTGATTGCTATTGGGCAACGGATCTTTAGACTTTAGCTTTTCGGAAAATGAACGGGGTTTTCCGTACTAAACCCCCAAAAAGCTGAGAAGCTTTTTGCAGGGGGGTCAACAGCAGCAACCAAGAGGTACGGATAGGATTGTCCACAGGCCCAACCAGAAGCCCATCCCTCAGAGTGGATTTCTTCTCGGTCCTCGGCAATCGACGGCGATTTCTTGTGCACTTGCGGCTCGCAACTGAACTCCCGAAGTTTGTTTGCCTCGAGCATCGGGCTTTGCCGGTGCTTTGCGGAGTCTACTCCATGTTCAGCGAGACAAAAATTGTTTGGCCAACCATCTTTCTTTCAGAGCTAGGTCCCGTAGTGCCTTTCTACCCTTTTTTGGGGGAGGGTTCTCCTACTGAAATATTACAAAAACAGGGTGCCCTGATTCTGTCCTCTCTACTGGAGGACCTAGAGAGGCTCCTAAGTCCTGTCACTTGGCTCCTGCAGAGAATGGGGCCGATTCCAGGAGAAACACGAGGAGAGCACCGGCTCCAGTTGCCCTTCGCGAGGAGAGTGAGAGATACAGTGCAGATATTGTAAAGGGGCCACTGGCAGACCTCTGACCCGCTGTCTTTCACTGGAATTGCAGGACTTTTTGGTAGGGATTAAGCCCTGAACAGAGTTCAGTATGTAATCGTATACATACATGTGCATCTGGATGTGTGAGTTGTTGAGGTGCCCTGCTAGTTGTGGGGCACGTACGTGACAGGGCAATGCCTTTGATGCCACGAAGGTTTGCCAGTGCGTCGCCTGTTCAAAAAAAACAACCAGAGCATTGTTTGTTTCCTGACGCAGTCTAAATTGGAACGTCCAGAGTCCAGATGCGCCCTTTGTATGTGTTGCAAGCGCGGAACATAGATGTCATCTCAGAATGTTAACTTGTCTTGTCGGTCCACAGCAGTCTAAATGGGATTGGTTGGTGGTTTGCGAGGTGTTGTAATGGGGAGGCCCCCGTTACTACTTACCGTCTACGGCTTCTCAGGCCACCCCCTGGCCTCCAAACCACCAACCCGATCAGAAATTGAGCTTTTCGTGTTTGTGCACCCTTTTCCCAGTTCAGGTTGGAGGGCTTCACCAATCAAGCAAAACACACGCAACGCAAGCACGTCATCGCTTGAACCTGACCTGAATTCAGGTTACTGGCTTCTTTTGATGCCAGGTTCTGCAGCGCACGCAATGTGAGTGGTTTGCAAAGTGTTTGCATTCTCATTGGACATGTGCAGCGGTGTTGTGTGCTTTCCCGGGCATTGTTGCTGCGCCGTCTTTTAATTTTTCGTGCGCCCTGGTTCAGGTTATGACAGACGCTTGGACATGGGCCGAACACAAAAGACCAGATGTGAGGGGCAAAAAGGAACGGATCCCGCGTGCAAGAGCAGCTGTCGGGGGTGGACAATCAGAACATGGCTCAATGCAATGGCTTCAGCGAATACCCAAGCCCCGCGCTCTATTCACGATATTGAGATGTTGACTAGATGTCATTTACACAGCGAGGCGATCGTCGAGGCATATTGTGGGTGGTTGCTTGCGAGAACGTTTGCTGCTATTGCTAGCACCGCCACCACCACCACCCCCACCGCCGCCGCCGCCGCCACCACCGCCATTCGCACCACCACCATCATCCGCCGCACCGCCACCGCCGCCACCACCGCCGCCACCACCGCCGCCCACCACTGCCATCACCTATTTCAGACCATTGGTTTTCTTCGGTTGAACCCAGCCAACCTGGGTTTAGCATGTCCTTCCCTTTTTTTGGTGAGCCTTGGCAGACGTGGCGAGATTTGAGAGCCTTTGCAGTATTTCAGGTTTAAGGCATAGAGCAAAAGGTGCAGAACTTGGAGCGAAACCCCGGCGGCAAGTGAGGGCCTGGAGGCGGGCCAGCGCATGCGATTCCGTTTGGGCACTCAGCTCCGTGCGATGCATCAGTCGAGTCGTAATAACGAGATCAAGAGATGAAGTTCTAACTTTGCAGAAGGGGAGGGACCACTTTAGCCTTGAGTACTTCTAGGGGTTGATTCCCCCCTTCTTTTCAAGCATCGTTTCTTTCCAAGGCCAGGTGTTTTTTCGGGTTTCTGGAGGTTTTCTAGAAAGATTCGGATCCCTGGAAATGGGGAACCTACCACCACGTACTGACCTTGGGCACGCCGGAGGCGAAGCGGCGAGCCGATGTACGGCGGCAAGGGCTATGGCGGCGGTTGGGGCAAAGGCCGCCTGGTGCCTGGGGTCGACGGTGTCGGATCGTTTTTCATGCGCCAATGGGCCAAGGAGCTCACGAGAGCTTTCGACGGCACGGAATCGATGGCCGAGTGTTTGGGGCGAGTTGAGGCTTTGCCGTGTGATGTTCAGATGCTCGGGAAGCCTTTCTGGCGCTTGGTTTGAGCTGCCTCAGTGCCAGCGTTTGCATGTGTCCATGGAACAAATTGTGGATCGAGTGTGCAGCTTGATAGGGCTTTTTTTGTTGCCTCCGGTGCATCGGTTAGGACTCCCTGCCAGGAATGTTCAGGAATCAGGAACCTCGGTTTTGCCTAAACGGCCGCCTCCTCTTGGTTTGTGAGGCATTAAGTTCCAAGCAAGATGCATGCTGCCCCTGAACCAGATTCACGGCCTGTTTCTGAAGAATTTGATCGGTCAGTTTGGGGTTTTACATCCGTTGCATCCGCAGTGTGGCTGTTCAAGCGTGAAAATGTGCGAGCAGCGCACTTGGACGGTTTGTTGTTTCCTTTTGGGCCCCAAACCGGTAACCCTTGAATCTATAGGTTATCAGCCGTAGGCCCCTAGCTCTAAGCAATGGACGGTTCCCTTGTGCCAGTTGATGGATCCAGCATGCCTGTGGATGCTGCCGGAGCTAGCTCCGGCAACGCCACCGGCGGCGGTGTGCGAATGTTCGCATCAAGCGCTAATGCGCAATACAACCGCACCCTGATGAATTCCCTTCAACTGTACAATACCGCAATCTTTGCTTTTGGGAATGATGCAGCCATTAGGTCTGAAGCCGAAGCCCTGCATCAAGCAGCTGTAACGCATTTGCAAGCGGAAAACCGTGAGGAGCTCCGTGCCGCACAGAATCAGCTGCATGCACACTACGCTGAATGTGTGCAAGCCCAGTCGCATAGGATTCGTGAATACGAACAGCGAGTGAGCGATGAGTTCATGCAAGAAGTGAACTTCGCTGAAGCTAGGATAAGCCAAGTGTGTGAGGAAAATGCCCAAGCATTGCATGAAGCGGAAATGGGACGCAAAACAACTGAGTTTAGGCAAGCCATCGAATCCACCCTGGCTGAAGCCCAGCAGCTCCTCCATGAGCAAGCTGCCAAGCATGCCGATGACACAGCCCGTGTCGAGGCTACACACGCCAGAACGGTTGACATGATGGCACACCAAAACGGGCTTCTGCAGGACGAGCTTGATGAGCTGAAGAAGTATCAGAAGCAACACGACCTCCGCGAGGATGGATCGAAGCCCAAAGGGGTAGGTGATACCCGAGAGGATTCACCAGAGTTGATGACCGACGACATGAAGTCAGCTCGGTCCCAAAGGTCAATGTTGGACCCGTTGACCCATCCGTTTCAATATGCAAAGGAAAAGTTGAGGTCGCTTGTTACCTATGACGGTTACGGGGATGAATATACCCCTAGCGTGATTCCAACTGCCGAATGCGAAGCACTGCCCGCAGATGCTCGCGATCCGCAAGGACCAGCTGAAAAGCCATCAGGTAGCAGCCGATCCCCGGTGAAAACAAGTGCACCGGTCCCACCCCTGCAATTCTCTCAGGGGCCAATGTCAACTGACCGCAAGCAGGGTGGTAAGCCTCCCGGCGGTCCGCCACCTGATGATGATGGCGATGGCGATGGTGATGAAGACGAAGGTGATGGCCTTGGGCCTAACCTCGGCCAAGAAGCATTTGCCAAAATGTTGATGAAGTTAGTAAAAGGCCAAACGAACGATGAAAAGCCCAGAACCCGCGAAAGCGAGACGTTGCGATTCAAGGAGATGCCAACTCCTGAAACGTACCGTGAATGGAAAACATCGGTTCGTGAGGATGTCCGCGCCGCATCTGACCGTCCAGACGAGGCTTGGCCTTGGATCATGGACCTGCAGAGCCCAAAGGTGTGTAAAGCAAGCACCCGATGCCCGAACATGCTAGTTGGCCGCATGAATGGCCGAACGAAGCATTCTTCCTCACACGATACACGAAGTCTCCGTTTACCCATGAAAACCATGAAGCCCCTTTCTGTTTGCTCTCCAAAGCGTCTTGATTGAACTATAACAGCTTTCCGTGGCTTTCCTCGGGCTTTTTGCAAGGTTCCCTCCAAAGGCCTCGATGCCATTTTTCCAGGCAACATGATTTCCTGAGCTCAAGTACGCAATTTGAGTAGTGGGAGCTGCTGCTTGGCTTCTCGCGGCTGCGAAGTTTTGATGCTCCAAGGTTATAGTGTTTAATTCATAAGGTCGCTTGCTTGGTCTGTGTATTGTTTGAACCAGGGGAGTTGCCTGCTCTCAAACGCAGTCAAAGACTTCGGGAGGCCCGCGCACCGCCGCCGCTTTTTCCAAAGGGCATGTGCCCCTGGCGTGATGTGTTGCCAAGTTCACTTTGTGCTCACCGACGCCAACGGGAGGCGTTATCAATTACAGCCACATGGCGCAGGAGCGCACAGACAAACATCAGACAAAGCAACCCACGCAGTCACTTGCGCGCGTAGCGAGCAGCGTGCCCAGCAGCCGGCTTTGCGAGCCGGGCGCCATGGACCTCCTGCTCTTGCACCGGGAGGCCCAGCAACAAAGGTGCGCCCAGCCATGCGCCTTACACGCTTGAAGAGACATGAGGCCAAGGGGGCCCGAAGACGCAAAGCTTGAGCCACGCAACCCTTGAGAGAATTTCCCATGTCCGTTCCAGAGACGCAAAGCTTGAGCCATGCAATGAATATGTGCGTTGCGTTGCGTTGCAATGATTGGGCCTTGAGGGCGTTTCCCACACGCGCCCTTCCATTACAAACAACGTAGGAAAAACCAAAACAAGGTTTGACAATTCAAGTTTGTTTTGGGACCCTGTCGAGTTTGATGTTAGACGCCGTCCCTGCAGCTTTTGCAGTTTTATGGCGCCCGCGTTTTGGTCTTGCCTCGTTGACTGGCCATGCCTGCTGTTAAATCGATCCTCAAAGTGAAGGGGGCCGCTCGCAAAAAGAAAAGCGACCTGAAGAAGGTCAAGGCCAAGGACATGCAACCATTTGCCCGCTGCCCCTTCGCTCCACGCTTTTCCTTGGCCGGGAAGTTCGCTACGCTGCCCCTTAACCAAATGAGTTTCCAAATGTTTTGCTTGAGTGAGGTGGCTGTGGTCTTGCTTTGGCAAATCCAAACGGGCTTCTGAAACATACGAGTTGAGGCTGCGCTTGCTCGTGCAAGCTGGCGTGCCGTTCACCATTCTCAGCACGACGGAACTGGTGTTGAGAAACATGACGCGGCCTGGGTTGGACACCTGTCTCGTTAGTAAGGGTTGGGATGTTGAGTGGCAAGGGTGACCCTTTCTGCCCAGCGGAAATATCAAGAAATAACACAGTTCGCGCTGGGACCAATCAGGGGCCCCGGGGCCCCGCAACTGCCAAAGGAGTTTCAAGGTTGCTTTGATCTGTTTTTGTTTGGTTTGGGAGAAGCAACGTCCTCGTAGGAGCCAGCGCACATGCTACCACATATCAAACAGTTCCCAAATATCAAACAGTTCCCTTGGCGTTTTGTTTGAAAGGGTTCGTCTGCTCCAAGCTACCCAGGAACTGGACGCGGTGGAACTTTTCAGCGGGGCGCACACAGTGGCATCCGGCTTCAGGCTCGTGGGCTTGGTGGGCGGGCCAGGGATCTGACAAAAAATGCTGCAGGCAATATGGAAAAATTGCTGGAACATTTGAAGTGATGGATGAAGAAAGTCAAGATCTGCTATCTCCCTTGGCAATGGCGTTGGCGCTCAGCATGTGCCTCCGCACGGTATACCGCGCTGCTCGTCTCAAAGAAGCAAAAGCTCGCGCAAGAGGGCTGCGTTGCTATGCCAGCGAATCAGGCTGGACTCACATGGTGGGCGCCCGTCTGCAGCAGCTGGGTATGGATAAATAGGCAGCTTGTCTTTAGATGAGGGGTTGTTTTTTTGCATGTCTTTGGCTGCAGGCATAGCAGTGGCAGATCGGCCACCAAGCCACTTGGGCTGGTGCGCCGCAAGCCCGGGGTAGAGGGCCCTTCAATCACAAAGAAATGTTTATTTGCTATTCCAAAAAAGTCCAGTAAAGGGTGGCTCATATGAGTATGCAAGACTTCCGGCCAATTGATGCATGTAAACTAGGGAGGGTGGCCGAAGACTTGCTTGCGCATTTTGGTGCCTCTCAAACTTTGGGGGCTGCTAAGATGTTGTTTTTGAACCATGCGCCCCAAAAGAAGGGACCACATTTACAAGGCGTGTCGGGTAACCAAGTCCAGGCGTTAAGGCCAAGACCCTTGGAGGTAGCGTCCAAACTGCTTTAGGGAGAAGGAGAGGAAACCCACACCCTATGTTTCTAAGAGGGCACATACCTTTTTGGGGTAGCGTCCAAGATGCTTCGACGAGAACCAACAAAAAGGAGAACCGCATTCTTGGCTTTCATGAGTTTGGGGGTAGCGTTCAGAACATTTTCGGAGAAGAAACTGGGGAGAGCTACACCCTTGGCTTCCAAGAGGGTCAAGACCTTCGGGCCCAGAATGTATTGGGGAGGGTAAAAGAAGGAGAACGCTAGGGCAAAAAGGCTTTGGTGAAATACAAAGGGAGGAGAGTCATGTCGGGGGGGGGTAGCGCCCAAAATGCTTTGGTAAAAGAAAAGGGGGCAGGGCCACACCCTCGGTTCCAAACTAGTCTGGGGAAGGGAAAAGCAGGAGAACAACATCCCTGCATTCCAGGGATCAGGGGGTAGCGTCCCAAATTCTTGAATATGCTTTGGGGAGAGAAAATAAAGGTGAACCACGCCCTTGGTTTCAGGAGGGCTAAGACCTTTGAGAGCAGCCTCCAAAATTCTTTGGGGAGAGAAAAGGGACGAGAACCCCCTTCTTTCCAAAAGGGAATTTGCCAGATCAAAGCAAATGCCAAACACAATCGGTAAAGTACTGGGGAAAAGCGGCCCAGCGTCGTGAGACGCCCGTGACGCGTCCCGCTTCATGTCGTCCTGCAGCGGGAGCGACGGGGAGAGCGACGAGGCA